GGTTGGTAAATCTTTCTCCATTCCTGTTTTGAGTCTTTGTGTATCCTTGCATGTGAAACAGGTCTGGATGTAACATGCCGTTGGGTTTTGGCTGTGTCTTTTGATTGGGGGATTTAGTCGATTTAAATTTAGGGTTACTGCCATTTGATGTTAACTGACTGTTTTATCCATTTGTTGATGAAAATTCTTCTTTATGTTGGTGCTCTTTACTTTTTGGTATATTTTTAGTAAGGCTAATACTGGTTGTTTCTTTCTGTGTGTAATGCCTCTTTCAGAAGCTCTTGTAAAGCAGGCCTGGTGGTAGTAAAATCTCTGAGTACTTGCTTGTTCATAAAAGATTTTATTTTTCCTTCAGTTGTGAAGCTTAGTTTGGCTGGATATGAAATTCTGGGCTGAAGGTTCTGTTCTTTGAGGATGTTGAATATTGGCCCCCACTCTCTTCTGGCTTGTAGAGTTTCTGCTGAGAGATCTGCTGTAAGTCTGATAGGCTTGCCTTTGTGGGTAACCTGACCTTTCTCTCTGGCTGCCCTTAGTATTTTCTCCTTCGTTTCAACCCTGGTGAATCTAACGATTATGTGCCTTGGGGTTGCTCTTCTTGAGGAATGTCTTTGTGGTGTTCTCTGTATTACCTGGGGTTGAATATTGACCTGCTTTGCTAGTTCAGGAAAATTTTCCTGAATAATATCCTGAAGGGTATTTTCCAGCTTGGATTCATTCTCTCCGTCGCATTCAGGTACACCTATCAAACGTAAATTAGGTCTTTTCACATAGTCCCACATTTCTTGGAGACTTTGCTCATTCCTTTTTATCCTTTGTTCTCTAATCTTGTCTTCTTGTTTTATTTCATTAGGTTGGACTTTTACCTCTGATATCCCTTCTTCTGCTTGAACAATTCGAGTGTTTAAACCTGTGCATACTTCTCAGAGTTCCTGTATTGTATTCTTCAGTTCCATTAATTCACTTATATCCCTCTCTAAGTTGTCTATTCTCAATAGGATTTCGTCAAACCTTTTTTCAAAGTTCCTAGTTTCTTTACGTTGCACTACAACATGTTCTTTTAACTCACAGAAGTTTCTTATTATCCATTCCTTGAAGAGTGATTCTGTCATTGGGATGTGCTTGTTCTCCGTCAAGCCTTGTTCCATTGTTGATGTGGAACTGTGATCATCTTTAGAGGGAGAGGCATTCTGATTTCGAGTATTCTCAGCCTTTTTATGCTGGTTTCTTCCCATCATTGTAAATTTATCCTCCTGTCATCTTTGAAATTACCAACTTTCAGATTAGGTCTCTTGATTGGACGTCCAAGTTGTTAGTTCCCAGGGCCAGAATGGCGGCGTTAAGACTGATGGTGCTTTTCTGCCCAGGATTCTCCTGTCTGCTTCCTTCTTGTGTCCATAATGGGCGACTCTGCCTTCCCCGGGCTCCAAACCTCGGTCAGAAGGGGAACCAGTCTCGTTTACTCTGCGCCGAGAGCTGCCGCGCTGAGGTGCCGTCACAGCCGCTGCACCGGTCTCAGGAGTCATGCTGGGGACCCATGTGGGTCCTCCAAACCTCGGTCAGAAGGGGAGCTGGCCCTGTTTACTCTGCTCCGAGAGCTGCTGCGCCGAAGTGCCGGCGAAGCCGCTGCACTGGCCACAAGAGTCACGCTGGCGGCCCGTGTGGGTCCTCCAAGCCTCGGTCAGAAGGGGAGCCAGCCCTGTTTACTCTGCTCCGAGAGCTGCCGTGCCGAGGTGCTGGCGAAACCGCTGCGCCGGCCACAAGAGTCGTGCTGGTGACCCATGTGGTTCCTCCACTGGGGATCTTCTGCTGCGTGAGCGACCAGAATTTGTCTGAAAGTGTGACATCCTCTAGTTCTCTGCGCTTTGACTGAGAGCTGCAATCCCAAGCTGTTATCGATCAGCCATCTTGGATCTTTTCCCCGCCATTTTTCTCTTGTTGCTTTCAAGATTCTCTTTGTCTTTGGACAGTTTGGATTATAATGTGACTCACTGTGGATCTTTTGGGGTTTTTCCTACATAGAGTTCACTGACCTGTATGGGCTTCTGTATTCATATCTTTCCCCAAATTTGGGAAGTATGGCCATAATTTCTTCAAATAGTCTCTCTCCTCCCTTTTCCTCTCTCTTCCCCTTCTGGAATTCCCATAATGCATATATTGGTCCACTTGATGGTGTCTTATAATAATAATCACAATAAATATTAAAGAACATTACCTGATGCTGCTTAAGAATGGAATTACATTAAGTGGACCAATCAGAAACTAGGATTTCTTGATATTTTAAGACATGATTTATTAATGTAAAGAAAATAAAAACAACAGTTTAGGCTTAAACCAATTGCCAAAAATACCACATTATTAAGAACCATAAAACTCAAAGAGATATACCAAGGTGAGGCATTTCTACTGTAAAAATTTTTAACTTAATTCAACTATATGCCAAGTCAACATGTAAACAATATTTAAGAATACACAAATGCCCATCGATGATAGACTGGACAGGGAAAATGTGGTGCATATACACCATGGAATATTATGCAGCCATCAAAAACAATGAGTTCGTGTCCTTTGCAGGGACATGGATGAACCTGGGATCATCATTCTCAGCAAACTGACACAAGAACAGAAAATGAAATACTGCATGTTCTCACTCATAGGTGGGTGTTGAATAATGAGAACACATGGACACAGGGAGGGGAGCACTACACACTGGGGTCTGCTGGGGAAAATGGGAGAGGGACAGTGGCGGGTAGGGAGTTGAGGAGAGATAGCATGGGGAGAAATGCCAGATATAGGTGAAGGGAGGAAGGCAGCAAATCACACTGCCACATGTGTACCTATGCAACTATCTTGCATGTTCTTCACATGTGCCCCCAAACCTAAAATGCAATTTAAAAAAAAAAGAATACACAAACAACTATGTAACATAATAACTAATACTCTCACCTCTCGAAGAGCCTACATTTTTATTGTAGAGGTAGAACTTACAGAACGAATCAAAGCTTAGCATGTAAAAAAGGGAAAATGTGAAAATTAAGATATATGGTATAGAAAACAAATGCTCAGAAGAGATGTAATATAATGAATGTATATTTAATAACTTTCTGTCATGGAGAAGGAGATAAAAGCAAGTGCAAGTGAAAGTAAGTTTATAGGAAAGCAGGAAGAGAGAAATGTTAGGAAGGTTTCTCAAAAAGTCTTCTCATTCTGGGAAACTGAGGCATAAAATACATAGGGCAGCTGAAGAGATCAGAGAGAGAAACAGAAGGGGGAGAAATATTTAAGACCGATGAGCAGTGTTCATATCACACAGATTTGTGTGGCATCAGTTCTGGTTACATAATTGACATCTGACAGTGCTTCATAGGCTGTGAATAGGAATGGAATCAATGGCTGGAATAACCCAAGAACTGAAATCTTTTGGAATAAATGGGGCAGTAAAGCAAGAAAAAAAAAAAAAACCAAGAATGTTAGCAAGAAAGGGAAAAGATGTGACCAATTAAGCAGTGTAGCATGGATAAGCTCAGAATTAAAGCCAGAAGGAAGCTGAGACTACAAGATAAGGGGAAGATCAAGAGCGGAGGTCTCAATATCACCAAAGAAAAATGCACTGGAAAATAGGGAGTACGGAAGTTGGAAAGATAAGAGGTTATCTTCTGACAGCTGGATATTATAACTTAAGATTTTATTTGTGTAGGCCTGGCATGGTGGCTCATGCCTACAGTCCCAGCACTTTGGGGGGGCTGAGGATCACTTGAGATCAGGAGTTCAAGACTAGCCTGGCCAACATGGTGAAACCCTGCCTCTATTAAAAAATGCAAAAATTAGCCAGACACAGGGGCTACTCAGGAGGCTGAAGCAGAAGAATCACTTGAACCTGGGAAGTAGAGGTTGAAGTAAGCCAGGACTGTGCCACTGCACTCCAGCCTGGGCAACAAAGCAAGACTCCATCCTCCATCTCAAAAAAAAAAAAGATTTTATTGGTGTAAATGTGTTAGTAATAATCACAATCAGATAAGAGTCAGGTGACTGAACTACAGAGAGGGTAAAGATTGATGGAGTCAGAGAATTCAAAACTTGTGGGGCTAGAATATTGGTGGAATGAAGAGGAAAAATATAAGCTAGACTATGTAAGAGACTGACTGTTAATCAACATCTGACATTTACAAATATGAGTTAAAAATGGAATAGTGGTGACTGAGCCTCAAAGAAGGAAGGGTCTTGCATGAGCTAACAGCTAAAGTTAGAGTAGTATAAAGTTTAACTTAAAAGCTTACAGTGTGTTACTGAAATAGCTTTCATCTTAAAGATGTAATTAAACTAAAACTATCTCCTCATCCTTGGTAATTAATTTTATAATTCTCAAAACAACATTTATGCGAAATAAGCATTGTAAAAATGAATTGCCTAATACAAATTTCAAACAGAAATTATTTAACTTATTAAGCATTTCTTTATTATTCCAATTATTCTAAGGGACATTTTATCTTAAAATTCAATATGGCCAAATACAAAGCAGAAGATGATGTATTCCAATTATTTTTGAATTATTTTGAATCAGATATGTATGAAACATTCTGATACGAACTTAAAGACATTTAAAACATTTTAATTTTTAATATATGTATCAATTGTAAATTGAAACCAACAAAACTGTTTTGTATTAAGATTCTTTTAGAAATGAAACTTTGTCCTAGGTCTGAAACAGTAATTTTCTAATTGATAAAGAACTAATAATTGTGTGCTGAGGTGTGAATAAAAAAACTACATTAAGAAAAGTACCTTAATGAGGATATTTTAAAAATTCTATTCAAAGGGAAATATATTTATCACAATAAAGACCAAGTAAAATGGAATAAAATATAAGAAAATAGAAATAATTCATGAATGTACATCAACATCTGTTCTTGAATTTACTAGGTCTATCAGATACTAATTCCAGGGATTTAAAAAAAATCTCAACACAGACATTAAGTAAACATAAAATGCTAGTAATTACTTACTGTATAAGAGAAGCTCTTTCAAAGTACTGAATGGCTTTTTCCCAAAATTGGGTGTCAATGTAATAGGCTCCAAGCCACTCAACGACTTCAATATTACAAGGAAAATACCTATATGACTGGAAAAAAATATGGAATGTAACAATACTTCAATGGCAACATATACTTCTTAAATACTTTACCTATTGAATAAATTTATCCAATGTGAAATTTCTTAATAAAGGAGTATGAGCTGTCTTAAGAACTTTGTAAATTATGAAACTATATAATATTTAGAAAACCTAAGCTTTGCTTGACACATTTTTCAATTATCTTTAAATACTTTTGATGTAACAATATATGAGCTGAGTCCAATTAAACACTTAAAAGAATAAAAAAGAGATGCAAATCATGCTTCAAGAGAAAAATTAATTTGTACTTTTTAATTATTATTAATTATTATTATTAAAACAGTCTTGGTCTGTTGCCCAGCCTGGAGCAACAGAGCAAGTGTGATCTCGGCTTACTACAACCTCTGCCTCCTGGGTTCAGGCAATTCTTGTGCCTCAGTCTCCTGAGTAGCTAGAATTAAAAGCATGTCACCACCATACTTGGCTAATTTCTGTATTTTTAGTAGAGATGGGGTTTTGTCATGTTGGCCAGGCTGGTCACAAACAACTGGCCTCAAGTTATCTGCCTTCCTTGGCCTCCAAAAGTGCTGGGATTACAGGTATGAGCCACCACGCCTGTCTTTTTATTATTATTTGTAGAGATGGGGTCTTGCTATGTTGCCTAGGTTGGACTTGAACTCTTAATCTTAAACAATCCTCACGCTGGCCTCCCAAAGTGCTGGGATTATAGACATGAGCCACCAAGCCCAGCTCTATTTCATATTTCAATTAAATCAAATAAAAACTAACTTCAGGCTTGGTGTGGTGGCTCACACCTGTAATCCCAGTACTTTGAGAAGCTGAGGCAGGCAGATCACCTGAAGTCAGGAGTTTGAGACCTGCCTGGACAACATGATGAAACCCTGTCTCTACTAAAAATTCAAAAATAAGCTGGGTATGGTGGCAGGTGCCTATAATCCCAGCTACAAAACTAACTTCATTTTCCAAGAATGATTTATTTTAAATAAATCATTTAAAAACTGTTAAGATCTTTTAAAATTTTAAAGTCCTGATGCCTTCTTTATAACAATTTACAAAATGCTAAAACACAGAAATAGAGATAACACACCTACCTCATAGTAATATTGAAATGCTTGAGATTTATCTCCTTCACGATCATATAATTCTCCTAGTTTAGCTAAAACCTGAGGATTGGTTGGAACAACACTGACCACCTGCATTAGCCATTCAATAGCTTCACTGAGATTTTCCATTAATTCATATCTTAGGCAATTTCAGTTAAGGAAAACACATTTTCTAAATTCAATAATCAACAAGAAAACTTAAAAACATCTTAGTAACAATATTTCTTAGCCTACAGTAATATGCTATTGTATACTGTTTTCTCTGGTTATCTCTGGGATGGAGATGGAATACAGCAGTACTGTGGAAATAACACTCTTGCTCCCTATGCATAGCCTGCTTTCCCTTTTGCTTCATTACTATCTATCCACTACAATCAACTCCCAAATTTCTGGTAGAATTATTCAAAGTATTGTCCAAAAATTGTCCTTAATAAAAATGTACTCAATGTTGCACAGAGTTATTCTATCTCTCTTTAACATGTTCAGCGTATTAAGAGAATTATTTTCATGTATTTTTCCTGTTAGTTTTCCCTAATCGGATTATAAACCCAAAGATAGTGATTTCTTTTTTTTTTTTTGTAGCTTCCTTTAGTACCTACTAAGTCTTCTGTGTATATTCAAATAATTTATTCATACCAATACTTTTTAATTAATATTTATTTTATACATATTAGGTATCTCAGTGAAATGAAAATATTCCAATCCAAAGTTTATTGAAAAAGAAGCACTGTTTTCAATGGTGACAAGTGTAATACTGGATGATCTCCTGTTTTGAATGATAAGTGTGATACCACAAGAAAAAAAAATTTAGAAATGTACTCACACCATCTCAAATACATCAATTGCTTGACTGGATCCAAGCTGATCATGAACTGGGTAGTAAAAGATCATGACACTGAACATTTCGGAGAAATTAAATGAATAAAACAGAACAAAAAGACTAACAGGAGTAACTATGATGCTATCTGCTCTACAACTAATTTTGTTTGTTTCTTTGAGACAGAGCCTAGTTCTGGGCCCATGCTGGAGTGCCATAGCACTGTCTTGGCTCATTGCAACCTCTGCCTCCCAGGTTCGAATTATTCTTCTGCCTCAGTCTTGTGAGTAGCTGGGATTACAGGTGCCTACCACCATGCCTGGCTAAGTTTGGTATTTTTAGCAGAGACGGGGTTTCACCACCATGGCCAGGCTGGCCTCAAACTCCTGCCCTCAAATGATCAACCTGCCTCGGCCTCCCAAAGTGCTGAGTGAGAATTACAGGCATGAGCCACTGTGCCTGACCTAAAGCTAAAATTTTAAAATAAAATTCTTTATTGAAAGTACAGCAGATAGTACTTAAAATTATTAATGATACACCTAAAACATATAAAATTTTCTAAACATATCTGTATAAAATTTAAATCAAGATAATAGTTACTTAAAAATCTACCTAAGATGTTTAACTCTTCCCAATGTTGTGGTCAAAGCTTACTAAAATAAGGAGAGAAATCAGAGTGCTTTTCAAATAGCATGAAAAGCATTAAAAACATTAACAAATTCCTGCTTTTCTAACCAAGAGCAGGCATTATTAAGAAACCTAAGTGTTGTGGAAGAAAGTGTCATGAGGGCATTCCCCCAAGTTCAAAACATAACACTGACACACATAGTATACATTTAATAAATGACTATTAAATAAACAGAATGAATGAGTTCATATGAAGAATTACATAATTTTAGAGGGTAACAATTCTTTGGAGACCTCATTATATCTAGAGGCCAGCTAAAAAAATAAGAAAAATTATCCAAACTCAATCAATAGTACTAACCAGTATTAAACAATATTTTTAGTAAGTTAGTGCTTCAGTGATACCCTACAAGCTTCAGAATACAATGTTCCAAAGAACCAAGTTGACTTTCAATGAATGGTTTATATGTATCCAAAATATCATACTCGATTACTTCAGTTATTTTCAAAATTTAATAAATAATAGCTTTAACCATTAATTCCTCTTTCAATGCAAATGACATTTTAAAATAGCATCACTCAGATGGATATTTTTATCACATGATAATCTGCTAGATCATCCTCATCACTTACTTCAAATATCCTCATCAATTATTTCATTAGTTAAACTTATTTAATTATTGATCTTCAATCACCAATTGAGAGAATTAATAACTATCTCTAAGTTTTTCAAATAAGATACATATTTGCTATCTGGTAAAGAACTTCGGCACTGTTTCGTAGGATTGCGTGAAGTTTCAGGAAACAGTCCAAAGCCTCATCTAGCCGATTCATTTTCTCATAGGTAAGACCTTAAAAAAAGAAAAAACACACATACCTATAAGCATCATTATTGGTATTAATTTCTTTAATGTAACAGAATAAATCTCAAAATATATGTAAATATTTATCTAGAAGAGAAAATGAAGATGAACTGAGGTTTTTGTTTTTTGAGACAGGATCTGGAATTGTTGCCCAGGCTGGAGTGTAGTGGTGCAAACATGGCTCACGGCAGCTTCGACCTCCCAGGCTCAGGTGATTCTTCCACCTCAGCCTCTCAAGTAGCAGGGACTACATGTGTGTACTACCACACCCAGCTAATTTTTTGTATTTTTAGTAGAGATGGGGTTTTGCCATGTTGCCCAGGCTGGTCTGAAACTCCTGGCCTCAAGAGATCCACTCGCCTCAGCCTCTCAAAGTGCTGGGATTACAGGTATGAGCCACCACACACAGACAATTGAGGATTTTCTTAAAGAACAATGTGGGGATAGGGGTGGGGATTCTCCACTGGCAGACACCAAAAGATGCTACAAAGCTTCAGTGATTTTAAAAGTGTGATGGGGTAGGCATAGACAGACCAATAGAACAGAATAAATAGTTCAGAAATGCACTCAATTATAGAGTTTAGTTGAAGACATTTAAAATCAGTGGAGAGGAAAATGCCAGTAATAAGTGGTGCCAGGACAACTGACTATACCTTAATTTTTTTTTAAACATAGGCTCTTATTTCATAAAAAATAAGGTCAAAATTGTGAAATTCAACAGGAAAAGGTATAAGAAGAGTATGAAAAGAAAATATAAAAAAATGATTTTATAATCAAGGTAAGAAGGGCTTCATAAAGCAATAAACAAATGAATAAAGCAATAAAAACGATTTTCTAAAAAGACAAATTTGGCCAGGAATGGTGGATCACGCATGTAATCCCAGCACTTTGGGAAGCCAAGGCAGGTGGATCACTTGAGGTCAGCAGTTTGAGACCAGCCTTGCCAGCATGGTGAAATCCTGTCTCTACTAAAAATGCAAAAAATTAGATGGGCGTAGTGGAGCGCGCCGGGGTCCCAGCTGCTCAGGAGGCTGAGGCAGGAGAATAACCTGAATCTGGAAGGTGGAGGATGCAGTGAGCCGAGATCATGCCACTGTACCCTAGCCTAAACGACAGAGAGAGACTCAGTCTTTAAAAAAAAAAAAAAAGACAAATTTGACGGTATCAATAATAAAACAATTCTTTGATACAAGAAATTAGAAACAAAGTTAAAATCCAAGCAATGGAGAAGAGAGAAATATTTAATACTTACAAATAAAAATATATCTAGGAAGCAAGTGCCTGCATGAAGACCTTTGTGCTGCTCTTCAATGCTCTCTTTATAGATACCCAAGTGGTCATTGCCTCCCTTCCTTCAGTGACTTGAAACATATATTCTCAATTAGGCTCTCCCAGATTCCACCTACAATGGCTAATTCCTTCCTGCCTCCCCTATTCTTCAAGGTTGGCAGCAGGCCTACCCTGCTCCTTCAGACAGGAGATTAAAGAATCTTTTCTGGGAGGAAAGATCCAATTGACTTATGGGCAGGTCTCCAACTAAACAGACCAGACCAGACAGATGCCCTACAGCAGAGTGCCAGCCCGTCAATCTCCCTTATGGACCTAGAGACTCCACTCAGTTTGTAGCCACAAACTCCTGAATACCAGGAGAGAGCCCGAAATCATTAGACATCTAAGGAAAGCCCATAACATGGAAAAGAGAATATAATAAGCAAACCAAAGAAAGCAAAAAATACCTATGCAGGGAGAAGAGAACTTCAAAAGAAACATTATTAATAATCTAAGAGACAAGACCCAGTACTGCATGGACATGTGTTTACAATATTTTGCAAATTCATGCCCAGGGGTGATGATGCCCAACCTCTGAAAGGCAGGGAAGAGAATGTGATGGTGGTGAGACTTCATGGCTTGCACTCTCTGGCTTATTAAAACCTGAAGTGAATATGGCAAAATGTGAAAATATGTTAAACTGTAGTGATAGGTACATGGGTATTTCTTTTTTGTATGTACTTTTGTGTATGCGTGAAGTTGTTTATAATTAAAAAGACAGCAAATGGGATTTTTTCCCCCACCAGTTTGGCAAAAGTTAAAAGGAATGATAATATCCAGTATTAGTAGAAATTTGAGAAATTATATTATACACTGTGATGGAAAAGCCCTTTTGGAGGGCAATATGGCCAGCTTGATTCAAATTTTGCATGTGCACAGCTTTGAAATCATTAATTCCATTTTAAATTATCTATAATCTGAGAGGCAGTAGTGTTCTTTTCAATTTACTAATAGAAGGAAGTCAACTCCTCCTCCTAATGTGTTAGATCTCTTTAAGCAAAACAAAATAAAAATACACAAATATAAAGCAAAAAATAAGCAAACAAATAATGTAAAAAGCAATTTCACCTTGTTTCACTTACCAACATTATAAAGTGCTTCAGTACAAGAAGAATCATTTCTTAAAGCCTCTTTATAGAATTCAGCGGCCTTCTCATAATCACCATTTGCAAAAACTGTATTCCCTTTATTAGTTAGAGCTGCTGGATTATACCTATCAGAGTTCACAGCTATATCTGCATAGCTGCTGGCTTGTGCAAAATCCTTTCCCTAAGTAAAATATATATACAAATTATTTGAATTTCATGAAATAGCTGACTGTTCTGAGATTACAGAAATAAACAGACTTTCACAGATTATGAATATGATGAACAAAAATATTTTACATATGTTGACATGTCTGCTTGATAGTCTGATTCTACATAAGAGTTTTACTCACCAAGCTCAACTACCCAAGTTTCTTGTGATTGAGTTCTCCACAGTCTCATGGTTTGAATAACAACACTATTTATATGTAGGTGGTTCCATGCTCAACGCCCAAATTCCATGTCATCATTTGCTGCAGCGCTCCCCTTCCCACTTGAAGCCCTGAAATAGCTGTCACAAAAACACTACCCTCCCTACCTCTAGCACACTGGCTGCGTCACCTACTAGGTCTCTGCAATTCTAGCAATCCATTGTTTCTTTTTTCTGCCTCCATGCCAAATACTTGGTCTTAGCTTTGCCATCATTCATGTGAGCTACAGGAACCTCTCTGTTCTTAAATATTGTGACCATCTGTGACAGGTCAGCTTGGTTAAGCCAGGATCTACATTTCCAAGAAGCTCCTTCACTTAGGTTCTTGTCTAGGCCAAAAGAGGAACTTATGTGACATCTGGAATGCAGATCTGAAGCAAAGGCCTGTAGTCTCTGAAAGCCTTTTTCTTGTCCTCAGACGCAATACTGATGTAGAAATATCCAGGGTGCCAGCTGCTCCTCACTCACATCACTTTATGGCCAGCTCTTCTTCCTGACTACGCAGGCCCTGCTCCATGACAGGGTTTGGCTGTGGCCACCAGAGGAGGCAGCTGCACAGAGGCATCTGCTTCCCACAGAACTCCCCATGAAGGCCCTCTGAGTTCTATTGTGGCAGCTGGATGTGTGTGGCCTCTCATTGGCTGATGGTAACTTCTCCTCAGATCTCCAGCTCCCCTTCTGCACCTTCACCACCACAGCTCCTTCACAACTGTAAAACATTAAACTCCAATGCCCTTCTCCCATATCACTCACAGTTGACCATCCCTGGTTAAACTTTTCAAAAGTTTAGATATAACTTATATATTATAAACCTGACCCCCTTTAAAATGTAAAATTCTGTGGCATTTAGTAAGTTCACAAAGTTGTGGAACCATTGCCAATATCTACTTCCAGAATATTTTTCCAACCCTCAAAAGAAACCCTGTACCCATCAGTAGTCACTCCCCATCCTCCTCTGCCCCCAGCCCCTGGCAACCACTAATCTGTTTTCTGTCTCCATGCCTATTCTGGACACTGAATATAAATAGAATCATAAAATATGCAGTCTTTTGTGTCTGACTTCTTTCACTTAGCATAATATTTTTAAGGTTCCTCTATGTTGTAGCATGCATCTGTGCTGGAATCCTTTTAAAGGCTGAATAATGTCCCACTGTATGGATAGACCACAATTCATTTACCCATTCATTGCTGACGGACACTTGGGTTGCTTCCAGGCACCTTTTTGGTTACTATGAATAATGCTGCCATGAATATCCACATCCAAGTTTTTGTGTGAACTCTGATTAAACTCTGAAATAAAAATTGGTATCTACAAGTGGGGTGGTGCTGTTATAAAAACTAAAACATGTAACACTGCCTTTTGGACAATGCAGCAAGCAAAACTGAGAAAAGCTGTGAGGGGCTGTGTTGGGGACTGAAGAAATGGTGAAGCATGAGTGAGCCTGCAGCAGCAGAAGGAATAATCAGAGGCTGGATAAAGAGCAAGCCACATTGTCACTGTGAAGCAGTGAAACAAGTGGCAACCACAGAGTGGGTTGGAGGACAGGAAGCGGACCTAATAAATATGCACATGTGGCCAACGGGATTTCTAGGTAGGATGCTGAAGGGCCAATGAACTTATTTTAACTGGGTATAACTGATCAGGTACAGGAAGATAAAAATGAGCTAAGGAGAACTTTTCAGTTTGCAGGTAGAATTTAGAGGAAATATAGAACTTGGACTTGCTGGGTTGGAAAATAAAATTATTTCATGTCTCCAGTTTCTTGTGATGGCACAAGATTCTCAAAGCAGGAAATGGTGGCAGGTTAGGGAACAATTCAAAGGTGTGGCTGTATAACACCTTTCGTAAACATCTCACAAAGACTTAAGGTCATACCTAGCAGACCTTCTCTCTCAGGTAGCAAAACAGGCTTCTAGACACTTCAAGGCTCTGTTCGATAGCAGCCTACACACCTAGTGGGAAGGGGTCTGTCTGGAAAAGAATTACGGATGCAGCTGTTAGGACACATAGAAAAGTCCAACAAGATTTAGAGAAAACCCTCCAAGTTTTTAGGGAGTTGTACTGACTGTTGCTAGTTTGGATTAAAGGGACAGATATAGTCCAAAATGAAAAAAGCCCTCTGTTCCCCAAATGTCTCTGGGCAGAAAGCAGGCTAAGAAAGTTAATCAGCTGCAAACATAGGCTATTGCTTTCTTTTTGTTTTTTATTTTAAGTTCTGGGATACATGTGTAGAACATGCAGTTTCGTTACATAGGTACACATGTGCCATGATGGTTTGTAGCAACTATCAACCTGTCATCTAGGTTTTAAGCCCCGCATGCATTATGTATTTGTCCGAAAGCTCTCCCTCCTGTTGTACTCTACCCCTCAACAGGCCACGGTGTGTGAGGTTCCTCTCCCTGTGTCTATGTGTTCTCACTGTTCAACTCCCACTTATGAGTGATAGCATGCAGTGCTTGGTTTTCTGTTCCTGAAATATAGGCTATTTCTTATACAAAAGGAAGATGCTCTCAGAGGACAGAGCCAAGAGCTGTAGAGGACGAAGAATTAGGGGCCACTCTGAGGGAGCAGAGCTGAGCCCTAATCAAGGAATATTCCTTTTTCCCAGACTAGGAAGTATAGGGCACATCTGCTTTGTTGGGTTTCAGAATCATTAAGGGCAGTGACTGTGATGTGCCTCCATTCCTCACCTTTGGGGATATGTGTCTATTATAGTTATCTTATTCTTATATCTCCATGGTATGTTGAGTGTATGGTGAGGCAGGTGCTATGTCTCTTCATTTACAGATCTTTGGATCAAGAAGAAAGAGAAATTGTGCCTGAGAAAGCTCCATCTCTTGTTTTTGTTTGTTTGTTTGAGACAGAGCCTCACTTTGTCACCCAGGCTGGAATGCAGTGGCACGATCTTGGCTCACTGCAACCTCCACCCACCAGATTCAAGCAATTCTTGTGCCTCAGCCTCCTGAGCAGCTGGGACTACAGGTATGCATTACCGTGCCTGGCTAACTTTTTATATTTTTAGTAGAGATGTGATTTCACCATGTTGGCCAGGCTGGTCTCGAACTCCTGGCCTCAAGTGATTCACCTGCCTCAGCCTCCCAAAGTGCTGGGATTACAGGGATAAGCCACCATACCCAACTGGAAAGCTCCATTTCTATCCGGACCTGATGTAAATCCTGGCCTTTCAGCCTGATGCTGTGGGGAATGAGATTCTGAGAGTCTTGGAAGGGATGTGAATAACTGGGGCCTGAGTTCAGACAGTGATAGATTGTTACACTAATGAATCCAGTGGATCATACCTCCCAGGATTCATGTATGACTCATTCAGGTATGATTCTCTCTCATGTCTGTTTCGTTCAATAAAATGCACAAGGAACTTATTACCAACCTGTGCACTGGGATTTGCCGTTATGGAACCCAGTCCTACATGAGAAGGCTGAGATCCCTTGCTGGAGATACTCTGAAGGAAGACTGAGTCGCCCTGGCCCAACAGTTCAGCTAATTGCCAGGCATGAGGGAGGCATTTGGAACATCCAGCCTCAGTCATGCCTCAGAGAATGGCAGCTGTATGAGTAAGGCCAGGGAAGCCCAGTGAAAAAAGCATCCACCTGAACCCAGCTCACTGGGTAGAATGTAACCAATTACCTGGTGATTTCAAGCCACTATGGTTTGGGGCAGTTCATTACACAGCAACAGAAAACAGATACAACTAACTATATGCCGGATACCAACAATACACTTTCAACTACGTATCATATAAAACTACATAGCAGACCCATCACTTGGCCTCAAAAGATTCTTGATTAGAACCATTTTCTTCAGAACCAAGTATAAGAAATTACTGATCAGATGCTCCAATAGCTCTGCTTGATTGAATAAATCTAACAATTCTCTTTGCTTCTTTAAAATTTCTATTGGTTTCCTCTTTCATATTCGTCAAACTTGGTAAAGATTTGGAAATGAATTGGGACACAAAATTCATTAGTGATTTTCTAAATTCAAAATTTAATGGCCATGATGGACAGCATGTTTCACCCCATGGACTTGCCCTTTAGAGCTGCTGAAAGTGCTGCTGGCCACCAGCCTCAGCAGGCAGTCCTCTCTGGGAACTGACCCGGGTAGAAGAGAGAGGCACCTTGACCCCCTTCCTAGAGATGCCCTGTTTTTGGGAAGTAGGCCACATCCAATGGCTGGCTGCTGTGGGGTACAAAGGCCCACCCTCTCACCCCTAGTAGGGACACTGCTGGGGTCTGCCCAGCTTTTGTGCATCCTGGGTTAGTGAAGGCCTTGTGGTGCTAACTGTATTAGAGCCGAACTCCTTCTGCTTAGTGCTCTCTCCCTGGCACCCCCCACCCAGCCACAGGTGCTGATCAGAAGAGCTCTGCCCACTCACAGGTGTTCTCCACTTCAGAGTCTGCGCTTACCAGCATGAGGGCCATTTCTCAGCCTTCATTCTCTTATACTGTCCCCTCTGGTTTCAACACCACTCCTCTTTGTGCCCTTCCTTTACTTCAAAGACATCATACTATCTTGTTTCTTTTCCTGTTGTCTTAATCTGATTCTTACTCTTACCTTTTTAGGGTATGTATATTTTAGTTAGTTTTCAGTTCTGTGCTAAGCTCTTATTCATGAAAAGATCTTTTATTATCAAAGCTTTAATCTCTACAGAGATGATCGTCGCATTTCATCTCTAACCCTGATTTATCCTCTGTGATCGATCTCCATGCCTCCTGATATGGTTTGGCTCTGTGTCCCCACCCAAATCTCATCTCAAATTGTAACGGTAGAGGGAGAGACCTTGTGGGAGGTGACTGGATCAGGGAGGTGGTTCCCCCATGCTGTACTCATGATAGTGAGGTAGTTCTCATGAGATCTGATGGTTTTTAAAGTGGCAGTTTTTCCTGCATTTTCTCTCTCTCTCTCTCTTCCTGCCTCTTGAAAAGAAGGTGCTTGTTTCTTCTTCACTTTCTGCCATAATTATAAGTTTCCTGAGGTTTCCCTAGCCATACAAAAATGTGAGTCAATTAAACCTCTTTCCTTTATAAATCACCCTGCCTCAAGTATTTCTTTATAGCAGTGTGAGAACAGACTAATACACCTCTGATATACTTGTTTTTGTTATTACCAAAAATGTTTTAACAGATTTAAAAAGAAACTCAACATGTTTTCCCCCAATCAGCACCCTCCTCTAGACATGCAGCACCCTCCTCTAGACATGCAACTAACTTATACCACTCTCCTACCAGTAGATTAAAGTACTAGAGTCATTCTTCAACCAGTGGTTTGGATCTCTTTCTTCATCTTTACATATACGAGGGATATGATACCTTTCCACTAGCAACAGCAGTTCAGCACAGCAGTGTTTCTCAATTGTGCACAGATCAGAAGCTCTAAGAGGGACTGGAAACATGGTTTAATAATATATGATGACTTTTTTTCTCATTTGTTAGTTAAAGAAACATAATAAGCAGTTGTAATCAGCAAGGCACTGTAAACAACACAAAGCTGAAGCTGATGGGCTAGTGGAAAAGAATCATACATAAACCATTAAAATACAATGCTATGAGTGCAAACGAAATATCCTAGGAGCACGAAGAAAGGTGAGACTATCTGCCAAAGAGAGTCAGGATGGCTACATATTTCAGTTTGGGTAGTGAAAATAAATTTAAACAAGGGGTTGGATAGTGGAATATTCTTACAATAAGGGCAGTTCTTGGAAATCTGTTAAGCCCATTCCTATGCCATTATGCTGAGCAAAACATAAGCAAAACCTAAGATGCTAGAAATTCAAGGGTTAGTGGCTAAGGCAGTTAAGGAGTTGTGGTAGCCTCATAATAGTTTACTGCCCAGGTAGATGGTAAGGTCTAGGTTGCTGCCGTGCCTTCATCTGGGCCCTTCCTTGGCTCTGCCACCTCAGCACGAACAGTTATTCTTAAGAAAAGCTCTTACAGGCTTCTTCTACACGCAGGACAGAATTGACTCTCGGATCATTTCCTCTAAGAATCACAGAATAACAGAATTAAAAACAATACTGAAAAATCACAGAGTTCAGTTGTTTCTAACTTTCAGCCTTTAGAATCATAGGAGTTCTCAAAGTGGCAAATGAGAATCTACACTTTTTTTTTGAGACAAGGTTATCTGTCACCAGGCAGGAGTGGCACAATCATGGCTCACCACAGCCTTGATATCCCTAGCTCAGGTGATCCTCCCACCTCAGCCTCCTCAGTAGCTGGGACTACGGGCACGCACCACCATTTTTGAACTTTTTGTAGAGACAGGCACTGTGCTGCCCAGCCTAGTCTCAAACTCTTAGGCTCAAGTGATCCACACGCCTCAGCCTCCCAAAGTGCTAGGATTACAGGCTTGAGGCATCACACTTACCTATAATCAATTTTCAATACTCAGAAAAAGCCTACCAGAAATTCTATATTTTCTAGTGAAAATAAAATGACTTTTATGCACACTTCCCTCCCAGCACTTACTTGCCTCTATACTTCTGTTTAGTCCCTGTCTCCCTACAAATGCTCCTTTCTATATTCTGACCTGCAAGATCCAACTCCATGAAATCCCTTAGTTAAAATGTTATTTGCCTCCTCTGAATTTCTAAAGCACTTATTATCTAAATTAATTTATTGTTCCCTACTTTGAACCTTCCTTCCTAGTCTACCACCTTTGCTCCAAAGTAAGAATGCTCCCCTTTAGGGAGCTTTTAGACTTTTGGTATCCCCATGATTGGCATCCAGTAGATGCTCAATGAATGCTTGTTAGAGATGATACTTTGTAACCTTACATCAATCTTTTAACCTAAGATGTCACTTTCTTTACTAATAACACAAAGGAACTGAAATACATCTCTAGCTCTTCCAGCTGTATGTTCCATAATCTATGCTGTGATGCTTACTGAAATTTTTCTCCCTCCCTTCTCCTTCAGAGATGGTCTTCTCATTCATGTCTGTCAATTCAGCCCCTGGCCTGGCACTTGTCACGATCAGATCCTCTATACACCTCAGTCCACTTAAAAATGTCCATCAGTATTCTTTGGGGCCTCTCCCTAACCATGATCCTCAGGCAGCAATTTAGCAATATAAAAATAGCACATGATTAACTCTTAGTTGTAAAAAAACTTACCATATAATACAGGGCTGAGAGATTGGTCGCAGCTGCACTTTTCACTCTACTGTCCTTTTTTTCCAACATTTTTAAGATCTCTACAGCCTAGAAATGGAATATCTGAAGGTTACTACCATGTAATATGACAGTATTCAAGCTTATGGCTGGGAAAAAGGTCAGTGTTCCTGAAGGAAGACCAGGGGAAGGCACAAAAGGGGTGGATTAACATGTTCAAGAAAACAGATGACAAGAAGAGAATTTCACTTGAGAATTAGAATTTATAGAAAAGAATAAAATGGAAATTCTGGAATTAAAAATATAATTAAGAAAACATAGATGTTATAATAGCAGATTAGATACAACTGAAGAGAGGCCTGGTGACTGGAAGAAAGGTCAGTAGTAAATAATGAGCCTTGGAAGGCTGGGCATGGTGGCTCATGCCCATAATCTCAGCACTTTGGGAGGCCATGCAGGAGAACTGCTTGAGATCAGGAGTTTGAGAGCAGACTGGGTGTAGGACTGAGACTCTGTCTAAAAGATAAAAATAGGATGATGATAATAATAATGAGCCTTGGAAGTCATGTGATACAGCTGAGTGTTTATCCTGCATAATGGGGTAGGCAGTGTGGCCCTGAAAGGTTTTGTTTGCCTAAGAGATATGATCAAATTCGATCTTTACAAAATAATTCTAAGGTTTCTGCTTCTGGCCATGACAGATTAGCCTATAGAAGAGCATTCCTTCATAGAGAACAACTAGAAAAATTATATAAAATACTAAATCTATTTAGTACTTTATACTAAAACTAAATCTATTTAGTACTTAATACTAAAACCATTTTTTGAAGGCACCATAGAGCTAGCAAAGTAACCAGGACTTCAAGGCCAAATTCCCAGAAAATGTTCGGACTAAATGAAGCACGGCAAAATAGCAGGCTAAAAAATGTTCCTAGAAAAGAACACAAGAGACTTACAGGAGCACAATGAAATGGCCTAACAGAAATGCAATTGGAGTTTCAGAAGGCCAAGAAGGAAAAATGGCACAGAATTTTTCAGAACCAGTAATGAAAAATAATTCTGGAAGTATTACAAAAAGTGATCTAAAGTAAATCCAAATATAATTATCTTTTTAAGTCATGGGAAATGAACGTTATGTTTTTAACTTCCTGGCAGGTCTAAGATAATACTAACCAAATAAGATGTGTGGAATGTTCAAACACTTTACATGAAAGGCAAATGAGTACTCAATCTAGAAACTGCTACAGAGTATCAGAAAGAAAAAAACAAGGTAGAGAAAGGCACTGAGTTTTCCTTCCTTCATTCTTTTAAAATACATTTACTGAATAGAAGATGCTTGGCTCTTGGTGCCTCCTGCTCCTAGAAAGCAGTTGTGTACAAGCAAAAGTAACTGCATTCGCTTTTATAATGGCTGTCAGCTACATCTGTTGCAAATATCTGACAGATCCTGAGACGTGGGCTGTGTAGTGTTTGACCTCAAATGAAGTACCGGTAGGCAGACTGACTCAATGTTTTTGAAGGGCAGAAGATTTTAAAATACTAGATTCCAGATACTTTGGTTAGAATACGAGTAGATTGTTATTCTTTTATTTATTGATTGATTATTTTTTGCACAATAAAGTTACCAAGCAAATTAGTCTTTTAAAGGGTTTCTGATGACATCAAAGCAAACTGATGGAAGTTTCTAGGTAGTTTACAATTCTACAAAGTAAACACTGGAAAAGAAAACCCCAAACATCATATCTTCACTTTTGAGATTCCATTTTTATCATTTACTCTCTTAGAAAGCACTTATAACACTGCCACAAGTTCCTTAAACTTACCTCAAAAATAATTGCTGCTAATATTGCTCATTCTATAAAATTTTTCATAACCAAGGGTGTGAGGATCACAAAACCTCATTAATTCTTTATAAAACCTCCACAGCTGTTTTGAATCTCTAACTTTTATAACCTGCATTTCGCTTTAAATAAGAATTGAGATAGTTTAATCTTCACTTTTAGACTGTGTCACAATAATTACTTTAAAATATAAGGCACTTGGATAGGTATAACTCATACATCCACCAAACTTTCCAAAATGTACAGGAAAAGAAAGCTATTCTCTAATGTTTACGACATCTATAAAACAATACAAAAAGAATGCTAACAAGCAACAACAACAATTTTTTTTTAAAAAAGGAGTGTTAAAGTCCTTTGTACCATTCCGTTTAGAAACAGACATTTACTTTAACACCATCAGATCTTTGAGACTTGTTAAAAAAAAAAAAGAAAGAAAGAAAAGAGACATTCACATTATTGTCAAGGAAATGTGTGTTAATTTTTAAAATTTTGATATATACTACTTTGTAACTTACTAATAACAATACTTTAAGGCTATCTTTAACATCAAATCTATTTTCTCCCAAAATGGTTATTATGAATCCAAAAAGCAGTGCAATCCAAGCTATTACTTAAAAAACTTGGCAAAGGTATTTACAACTTAAAACATCATAAATGGATATCACTTGACAAAGTAAAAACATTTCATATTATAGATTTCTAAACTATGATTTATTCTAAAAAGGCTACATAATTATTCTAATAAAAGGAACACTCTCAAGGTATTTTTTTGGCTCATATTTTTGTTCTGAAATTGGCTGTTTTTATAATCATTCTCTACATGCCCATAAATCTATATCCAGTATTTGTTTTTAAAAAATAAGTTTATTCATAAATGGAACTGATAAAAGTACAGTCAAAATTAAATTTCATTGTAAATGGCAAAACAAAAAATAAAAATAAACATTAGCTTGTTTGTTTCCCTGAAAACAATGAGGAAAAGGGCTCTATGTCTGTCCTACTCTCCTTTCCCATCTGATGCCATCTAGCTCCTGGCTTCAGCATTCCGCTGAGTCTACCCTACACTACCACTGGCCTCCAGGCCAATGGCTTCATTTCATCCACTTTGGGCTTTTTGGCAGTTTTTTTTTTTCTATTACAGAAGTGGCTACAAACACCATCATTATCACAAAGACCCACACTCTGTGTTTTCAGCATCTTTTTCTTGGAAAAAAAAAAAAGTATTTACAGCTAACTCCAGAACTATATCCTCGCAGAAGGCGGCATAAATTTTTCTTTTTTACTTTGAATTGTAAATAAAGTAGTTGTCATCAAATGATTACTATGAGATATGTCAACCCAATCCTTTTTCACTTAATAACATTTCTCTCAAACTAAGATTGTATTATACCCACCTCATAATACTTACAATACACAAACAAAAGAAAGACAGAGTGAGAGCAGCAATAATGAAAAGAAAACAGAAATGGCATTTTAAAAAATCAGTAAACTAATGCATATTAAAAACTTAAAAATGCAAATGGAACAGAAGATACTTTGAACAAGACTAGATAGGAAAGCGCAGATAGTAAGATCTGAGTTCAAGAATTTTAACATTAAAAAATTGGAGTGTTTATTGCTTAATGGACATAGTTTTAGAACTATGAGCTATAGCAACGCATTCTTAACCCTTTTTTATTTATTTATTTATTTTTTTGAGACGAAGTCTCGCTCTGTTGCCCAGGCTGGCTGGAGTGCAGTGGTGTGATCTTGGATCACTGCAACCTCTGCCTCCCATGTTCAAACAATTCTCCTGTTTTAGCCCCCTGAGTAGCTGGGACTACAGGTGTATGTCACCATGCCTGGCTAGTTTTTGTATTTTTAGTAGAGATGGGGGTTCACCATATTGGTCAGGCTGGTCTCAAACTCTTGACCTCAGGTGATCCACCCACCTCAGCCTCCCAAAGTGCTGAGATTACAGGCGTGAGCCACCGCGCCCGGCCTCTTAACCCTTTCTAAAAAGATCATTCAAAAATAAAATGTCAAAGGAAAACTGGCAAATAGGGTTTTCTCCATTTTGTCATCTATAACACTACATGTCACACACAATTTTTTTTTGGTCTATATAGCACTTTAGCAAGACATGACCAATTTAATTCACGTTGCTTCTGTGAAAAAAGCATTATAACAATGTTGGAGACTCATCAGGGGCATTTTTCATAACCAAGGGTGTGAGGATCAAATGACAGGGCAGATAATTTGAAAAGTCTTTTTCAAATGTTTTATAAATGCTCAAACAATTAAGCATAGCAAATTAACATATGCAATGGAACCACCCTATAGTACTACATTATATTAATTATATATTTATTTCATCAACACTAGGGTTGCTTTTTTCTACTCTTATATTCTTTGAGTAGATGGTGTTCTCCCCACTTCCTTTGCTAGCCCTTTCTATTGTCTCCCAGAGCAAAAATTCTCTAAATAGGAAGACAAACTGAAAGCACAGGCTTGGGATAGGATGTGGGAAAGATGCTGCAGCTTTCTCTGGTCCTTGCTCTTTGCACCTAACTGGGAAGAGCTGAGTTTCCTAGCTGTTGGCATATAATGACACTAACCACTGGTGTTACAGACTAAGACATCAAGTCATCATTCTGTTCACTCTTTTTGGTTATCCCTCTTTCTTACAGCTGTCTAAACCTCCTGATTGTGTGTACAACTCTTGAGAGGCTGCTAAAGAGGCAGCACCAACTCTACCCTCACCCAAGATAGCAAGGGAACGGCAGTGCCAGTGAGATCTGCAGGGTTCTAAAACCCCATTCAGCCATGGGACCCTTCCATTCACAATGCAGTGTCAATGAGGAAACCAAACACATAAAATAGACTACAAGGAAACTGCTCTGGTGAGTATAGCAGGCTCCCTGCTTTTTGTGCTCCTTAGTACAATCAGTGGTCCTAAAAACTCTATGCTTTGGGGAATACTTTGAAAATCTCTAGGGGAAAGTTAATCTCTGGAACAGAGAATATGGTTTGTAATTTACCAACCATGCTATACAAAGAAAGTATTTACATTTTAAGAAATGACAAACAGGCAAAAATGAATAAAAGTTTAAAACTATTTTAATGAAAATTATGTTAAAATGGAAATAAAACTATTATTCAACTTCAGAATAATCACAGATAACGTTATTCTAAAAAGGACTTCCCCTGTTTTTATTGCTTTTACCAATTAAGATACGAAATTCCATCTAAAACTTTTAAAAAAAACTTACCTGGTTATAGTCCCTTTGTCTCAAGTATGTAACTGCTTTGTTTATTTCCAGATCATTGGCTAGCTCTACATATTGAGAAGCTTTCACCACTTCCACGCACCTATAAAGGAAAGCATAAAAAAGCTTACTTGATTTCGTTTTAGTATATTGATGCTTTTGGTTTCTTAAATGTGGCTTTTCTCAAAGATTTTTTTAAAAGGTTCCCCCCTAGTACTCTGTAAAGGTAAGCACTTGATTTGCTCCAACAAGGCTTTAAGTTACTTAAGTCTTCAGTTCTAAATTACTTTTTCTTTTTGAGACAGGGTCTTGCTTTGTCGTCCAGGCTGGAGTGGCGCAATCTTGGCTCACTGCAACCTCCGTCTCCCGGGTTCATGTGATTCTCCTGCCTCAGCCTCCCATGTAGCTGGGATTACAGACGTGCGCCACTAAGCCCAGCTAATTTTTGTATTTTAGTAGAGATGGGGTTTCACCATGTTGGTCGGGCTGGTCTTGAACTCCTGATCTCGTGATCCACCCACTTCAGCCTCCCAAAGTGCTGGGATTACAGGCACGAGCCACTGTGCCTGGCTAAAAAGATTTTTTAAATGTCATGCCCATATAGGGTGCTTACCATGAACAAAGCTTGTAGGAAGTTGTTTTGGGTGAGTCAGAGTGACCTCTGAGTGAATGTGAAGACCTAGGATATTACTGTACACTTTTATACAACTGGCAGCATAGGTTTATTTATACCAGCATCACCACAAACAAGCTACAATTTTATGACAGCTACAATGTCACTAAGTGATAGGAATTTTTCAGCTTCCTATCTTATGAGACTACTGCCATATGTGTGGTCCACTGTTGACTGAAATGTAGTACATAACTACTTAATTTACAAAATAACATGAGTAACAAGAAAAATATCTTACTAGGAATTTTTACAACAGGTTATATTAATCTTAACATATAATATTATCTGCTTAATAGGAATTAGCATTCATATTCACCTTTCTAATGACAATATTAATTTAAATTTAAAAGTATAAATTATGAAAAAACCCATATCTGTGCAGTATTATAGAATTTCTCTTACCAATCATAACCTGCAGCAAAAGATGTTTCAATTACAGGAGCAATGAGTTTTGCAGATGTCATGATGTATTTTTCTGCCATGGCTTTCCTATATCAAACAAACCAAGAAATTGTATTTAGAGATACAGTATAAAATAGTTTGGATTTATTTCTTAAAATTTAATTGTAAACATTATCTGGCAAAACTAATGTACCACAAAAGCCAACTAAATAATGGACAGCTACCATAGAAATCCATTTATAAGTCAGGTTTAAAACCATGACTAGGAAACGTGATTAGCAAGCCATGATTGCCTGCTGGGTCAACAGTGTTCATTTCTTTTCTTTTTCTGCTTTATGATGCCTTCTGACAAACTGAAGAGATACTGGAGACACAAGGCCCTGCAGCAGCACTTACATAGCCTACACTGTGAAATGAAAAAAGAGTGAAAAGACTACTGAAGAAATCCTATGTGGTAAAGAGTAAAACAGAGTTACTACCTGTTGCTTTTGTGTGTATATACATGTATCTGTATCTATGCGTGTGCATGTATATGTATGTGTACATATATAAAGTCATGTAGCATCATGACTACTGGAAAATGTCCCAGTGCTTTTTAAAGCGGATATACCAATTTATAGTGGTGGATAAAAGTTCTCTTAGTCATTTCTTCTTGGATTTACATATACACAGTGGTTTTTCAAAATGGACTCAAAATGTATATACTATTTTGTAACTTGTTCTTTATACTTACTATGCTGTATTAATATAGAAATAATATCTTTCCAAGTCATTAAACATTCATCTTCTTTTGAACTATATTTTGAAACAACTGTAGATTCACATGCATTTGTAAAAAATAATAGATTTCATGTACCACCTTTACCCAGTTTCCTCCAAAAGTAACTTCTTTAAAACTACCATGCAAGATCACAACCAGATTACAGTCAGGACACAGAATATTTTCACTCCCTTATGTTTCCCTCCAACTCCCATCTGCTCTTCGTCTCTGAACAACCACTAATCTGATCTCCAGTTCTACAATTTTGTCATTTTAAGAATGTTATATATAAGGAATACGATTATATATAATCTTCCAGGATTGGCTGTTTTCATGCAGTATATGTCCTGTCAGATCTATCCAATTTGTTGCATATATCAATAGTTCATTTCTTTCTGTTGCTAAGTAATATCCATGTTATATGTTAACGGTTACAGAAAAAGCATTTGACAAAATTCAACACTAATTTATCATAAAATCATAAAAACAAACAGTAGAGAGCTTTCTCAACATTACTGAATTGTGATTTTTCTTAGTTTCTTAGTATGGTGGATTATACTGATTGATTTAAAAATAATGAAGCAAACTTTCCGCCTTTGAATTAATCCTACTTGGTCACGGCATGTAATTTTAAAAACATATTTTTGAATTTTTAAAAAACAGCTTTATAGGGATGTAACTCATATACCACACAGTTCACCCAATATAAAGTCTACAATGCAATGGTTTAGGCATATTCACAGATTTGTGCAACAATCACCACAACCACTTTTAAAACATTTCATCACCCCAAAAAGAAATGCAGAATCCATTAGCAGATACTTCTCCAGCCCCTGGCAACCACTAATCTACTTTCTGCCTTTATATTGCCTAATTTGTTCCTTTCACATAAACAGAATCATAAAACATGTGTTCTTTTGTGACTGGCTTCTTTCATTTATCATGTTTTCAAGGTTCATCTGTATCACATTGGTTGATGCAAAAGTAATTGCATTCAATGGCAAAAAACGCAATTACTTTTGCACCAACCTAATAGCATGTATCAGTACTTCATTCCTTTGTATGGCTGAATAACATTCCATATTATGGATAGACCATATATTCTTTATACATTCATGAACTGTTACACATTTGGATTATTTCTATTTTTCAATATTATGAATAAAATCACTATGAAAATCTGTATATAAGTTGTCATGCGGACATTAACTACTTTCAGATAAATAGAAGTGAAATTACTGGGTCATATGGTACGTCTATGTTTAACCTTTTGGGGTGCTTCCAGGCTGTTTTACCAAGTACCATTTTATACTCCCACTATCACATTTAAGAGTTCTAATTTATCCACACTCTTGCCACTACTTATTTTCTTTTTTATTACAGCATACTAGCAGGTGTGAAGTAGTATCTCACTGCAGTTTTCAGCTGTATTTCCCTAACAATTACTGAAGCTCAGCACCTTTTCCTGTGTGTATTGGGCATTTGTGTATCTATTTTAAAGAAATATCTATTTATATCCTTTGCACATTTTTAGTTGGGCTATTGGCCTTTTTATTATTGAGTTGGACATTACTTATATAGTCTAGAAATAAATCCCCTCTTAGCTACACCATCTGAAAATATTTTCTCCCATTTAGTGAGTTGTCTTTTCACTCTCTAGACAGTGTTTTTGATGTAAGTTTTTAATTTTGATAACCAATTTACTTATTTTTTTCTTATGTCACTTGTGCTTTTGGCTATATCTATGAAACCTTTGCTTTTAATCCACAATGATATTTATTTTCATTTTTTTTCCCTAAAAATTGTAGAGTTTTAGCTCTTACATTTAGGTATATAGTTCATTTTGAGGTACTTTTTGTGTATGGTGTGAGAGAGAAGCACAACTTCATTCTTTTGTATGAGAATATCTGAGGGAGATCTGTGGGGATCGCTCCTGTGTGAGGCCCGTAGGAAATGGGCCTCGCCAGTAGTGAGCTTGAGCCCGGACACAGATCCCCGGTTGGGGGAGTTGATCTGAGGGAAAGCAGGAACCGAGAGAGGGGCTATGCTATTCAAAATAATTAACAGACATTACTTTATGGATATGAGGACATGGGATCGTGTCCACTTTCCGTTCTTTATTATTGTTTCATTGTGTTCATTTTGGACCCTTGTTACATTCGCTGTAAAATATTAACTTAAGTATTTACACTTGTTAACCTACTTACTGTGTGTAACTTACTTACTGGGCGTAACTTACTTAGTGGACTTAACTTGCTTACCTTGTGACTTAACTTAAGCATTCTGATCTGACGTAAACAACATTAAGCAGAAAACTATATAATGGAAACTACTGCAAAAATAAAATTGCTGCATGGGCATAGCTCATGTGGCCCTCCAGACCTCGCTCTTTTCTTTTCTCCTTTTTCTCTTTTCTCCTTTTTTCCGGCGCACGCTCTCTTCCAGGTTTGGGACCCTCGCTGGACAAGATTCCCGGGCTCGCGTTCAGTTCACAACAAATATCCAATTTTCCAAGCACCATTCGTTGAAAAGACTCTCCTTTCTTCTCTTAAATTTCCCTGGCACCTTCATTGCCTATAAACCTAAGAGATTCTTCCTGGTCTCTCAATTCCATTCCTTTCATTTATACCTCTGTCTTTACACTAGTACCACAGTGTCTTCATCAGCGTTGCTTTCTAGTTTGAGCCTAACTTTGCTCTTCTTTTTCAACATTGTTGGGTTCTGGGTCCCTTATATTTCCATGTAAATTTTAGGATCAATTTGTCACTTTCTGTGATAATACTGCTGGAATTTTGACAAGGGTGGCACTGAATCTGTACATTAATTTGGGAGCACTGAAATTTTAACATGATTAAGTGCCTCTGCATAAAAATGTGACAGAATTTACTTAGGGTCTTTATATTCTTTCACTGTTTCATAGTTTTCAGCATTTAGGTTTTGCCTTTCTTTCATTAAATTTATTCCTAATAATCTTTATGCAATTATAAATGTAATCATTATTTTCATTTGTGGGATAATTCATCGGTAGTGTATAACATATTTTTTCTTTTTTTCCTGAGGGGGTGCATAGTTCCTGGAGGTACTACACTACCAGGTCAATGCATGGAATAGATGGGGAAAGGACATATTCAATCTCCCTGCTCCAAAAATCCATTTAACAGAGTGTCCTTGGATAGAGGAAGCATCAGATATATAAATACTACACTTGATCTTAGCCAAAAGGCCGAGAAGACATTCACATATTTCTGTACTATACTACTGATTTTTTTTTATTCTACAACCTCACCAAAATCATTTATTTTAACAGTTTTTAAGTTGATTCCTTAGCATTTTCTATATATAAGATCATGTCATCTGCAAAAAGATGGTTTTAACTGTTCTTTCTAATCTGGATGTCTTTAATGTCGGTTTTAAGTTTATTTGTTTCACAAACTGCCAAAGCCAGAACCTTCCAGTGCAATGATGAATAGAACTGGTGAAAGTGGGCCATTCCAGCACTTTGGGAGGCCAAGGCGGGTGGATCACCTGAGTTCAGGAGTCCAAGACCAGCCTGGCCAACATGGTGGTGGTCTTGAACCATGCTGATCGCTACTAAAAATATAAAAATTAGCCGGGCATGGTGGTGGGTGCCGAAAGTCACAGCTACTCAGGAAGCTGAGGCAGGAGATTCACTTGAACCCAGGAGACAGAGGTCGCAGTGAGCTGAGACTGTGCCACTGCACTCCAGCCTGGGCAACAGAGCAAGACTTCACCTCAAAACAGAAAACAATTGGTGAAAGTTGGATATCCCTATGTTGTTCCTGATCTTAGGTGCAAAGCATTCAGTTTTGTTTTTTTGAGACTGGGTTATGCTCTGTCTCCCAGGCTGGAGTGCAGTGGCGCAATTTTGGCTCATCGCAACCTCTACCTCCCAGGCTCAAGTGATTCTCCCAAATAACTGGGACTATAGCACGTATCACCACACCTGGCTAATTTTTGTATTTTTTGTAGAGACAGGGTTTCACCATGTTGCCCAGGCTAGCTGCCATTCAGTGTTCTGCCATTAAGTATGATGTCAGCTGTGGGTCTGTCATAGATGTACTTTATCAAATTAGAGAACTTCCTTTCTACCTGTTTCTGGTTGGGCTTTTTGTTTTTAATCTTGAAAACATTTTGAATTTTGTCAAAAAATTTTTCTGGTTTCTACTAAGATGACTGTGTAGTTTTTAGCCTTCAATCTACAGATATCCTGTATGTTATTATTATTAATTACTATTATTTAAGATGAGGTCTCACCCTGTTGCCCAGGCTGGCATGCAGTGGTGTGATAATGGCTCAGTGTAAACTCAACCTCCCCAGGCTCAGGTGATCCTCCCACCTCAGTTTTTGCATTCTTAGTAGAGACAGGGTTTTGTCATGCTGCCCAGGCTGGTCTCAAACTCCTGGAATCAAGGATCCACCCATAACAGCACCTCAAAGTGCTAGGATTATATGCATGAGCCACCGTGCCTGGCCACCTGTATAATATTAATTGATTTTTACATATTAAGCCAATTTCACATTCCTGAGACAAATCCCATTTGGTTATGATGCATAATTCTTTTTATATTTTGTTAATATTTCAATTTGCTAGTATTTTCTTGAGGATTTTTGAGTCTATATTCATATAACATTAATCTGTAGTTTTCTTTTTTCCTCTTTTCCTTCCTTTTTTTTTTTTTTTGGTACTGTCTGTCTGATTTTGATAGTAGGGTACTTCTACCTTCATAAAAGAAAGTAGGGTCTGAAAGAGATTATGTAAAACTGATGTTAATTCCTTTTTTCCCCCCAGCAACATCGGAGATTTCATTAAGCCTGAATGGAGGTTGAATTCATTTTGGAGTTCAATGATATGTTCAAAGAATCAGGTATCATGATCGTATAGACAATTCCTGTAATATCTCCACAGTGCAAAATTATCCCCGTTTCCTGTCATTCACCAGTGAGAAAAATCCAACTGCAGACTTGACCACCTTTGGTGAAGGCACATGGCAAGTTCTTCTGAAAAATAACACCTTTCAGGATTGATTCTTCCTGTTTTACACAGCAATTGTCTCAGCTTGGGACCAAAGCAAGCGAATAGCAGATGAGCAAACAGGGACACTTGGAGGCTGGTGGTGCAGAAACCCAGTCACCTCCCCAGCAGTGTCCCATGTGTCAGCTGACACAATTTAACATCTTCAATACAGAATTCTAATAGAAAACAAAGCAAACAAACAACAAAAAAAACAGGAGTAACGCATAAGCAATGTTACTTCCTCTCTGAAGAGGGAAATAGCTCACTTGCTGGGAGATAAAGGGGAACCTCTCATCTGCTGCTTTCTCTCCCCAAGTGCCAGAAACAAGCTGGGTATAGTGATGAAGAAAGACGGCACCCATCACCCAAGACCCCACAGCCAAGGCATGGTCCCCTCCGTGAGGGCATGGTCCTTTCATGAAGCCATAAAAGACTAAGACCACAGCTTGGACCTGAGTACTCAGGGTTACCTACTAGGGTCTTGTAATAATGCTGGTGTGATTCCTGACAAAACCCAAATTGAATTTTTTTTTTTTGAGACAGAGTCTCACTCTCTCACCCAGGCTGGAGTGCAATGGCGTGATCTCGGCTCACTGCAACCTACCTCCACCTCCTGGGCTCAAATGATTCTCTTGTCTCAGCCACCCAAGTAGCTGGGACTACAGGCATGTGCCACCACAGCCGCCTAATTTTTGCATCTTTTTAGTAGAGACAGATTTCACCATATTGGTCAGGCTGGTATTGAAAAAATATACTGAATATAGTAAGTTTTATAAGAAATAGAAGGTACATTCAACCCTTTCATAAAATTAAATTATTTTGTTTTAAATATTGTCTTAACACTAAATATTAAATATTTTAAATAATGTAATTAATAACTACATTAAGTTTAAAATACTACCTTTCACGTTCCATTTGCCTTAGGTGATCATTTTTTATAGCTTCAGTTACTAAGTTAGTATGAGGATCATCCTAGTAAAATAAAATGGAAGAAAAAAAGAATAATTCAGAAGTCAACAGCAAGAACTTAATTTTTTGTTGTTGTTGTTGAGACACAGCCTCACTGTTGTCCAGGCTGGAACGGAGTGCCATGATCAGAGCTCATCATACCCTGCACCTCCTTGGGTTCAGGTGACCCTCCCACCTCAGCCTCCCAAGTAGCTGGGACCACAGGAGCACATCATGAAGCCTGGCGAATTTTTGTATTTTTTGTGGAGATGGGGTTTCACCATTTTAGTCAAGCTGGTCTTCAATTCCTGGGCTCAAGCAACTTGCCCACCTCGGCCTTTCAAAGTGTTGGGATTACAGGCATAAGCCACCATGTCCAGCCAAGAACTAGAATTTCCAATAAATCGCCCCACTAACTAGTTTTATAAAATGGAGAGTAAATTAATACTACTATTTTCCCTTATGTAAATTAGAACTTTCTTTTTTCATATGTCTGATTACCAATCACATTCTCCATTGAACTAACCTAGATTTTAAGAACTTGATAAAAGGATCAGGATGGAAAGATCAGGACCAAGCACATAGAAGTTGTGGTTCTTAGTAGAAATACGTAATACTTTAATTCTAAACTCAAATACAAATGCTTCAATCATCAGTTACTTAGTATGATCTGTATCTCTACTCCCCATTAAAAACACAGATGATTTTTTTACAACATATATTATTTTTTCTCAATATGAAAGTAATATTTAATTAACATTTACCAGCACTTAACTATCTTCTATGTACTACTTTTTTTTGTTTGTTTCGTTTTGTTTTGAGACAGACTCTTGCTCTGTTACCCAGACTGGAGCACTGTGGCATGATCAGGGGTTACTGCAGCCTCAACCTCCTGGGCTTAAGCCATCTACCCACTCAGCCTCTCAAGTATGTGGGACTACAGACATGCACCACCACACCTGGATAATTTTGTTATTTTACTTTTGAGACAAGGTCTCAAGATGTCATCCAGGCTGAAGGGCAGTGTTGTGATCCCAACACACTTAGCCTTGACCTCACTCTGGCTTAGGTGATTCTCCCACCTCACAGTAGCTAGGACTACAGATGCACACCACCATGCCTGGCTTTTTTTTTTTTGAGACAAGGCCTTACTCTGTCACTCAGGCTGGTGTGTAATGATGTGATCATAGCTCACTACAACCTTAACCTCCTCAGGCTTAGGTGATCCTTTCACCTCAGCCTCCCAACTAGCTGGGACTACAAGTGTGCAACATCAAATCTGGCTAATTTTCATATTTTTTGTAGAAATGGAGTTTCGTCATGTTGCCCAGGCTAGTCTTGAATGTTCAGGCACAAGCAATCTTCCTGCCTCGGTCTCCCGAAGTGCTGGGATTACAGGTGCGAGCCACTGTGCCCAGCTACCAGGTACAAATTTAAGCATTTCACATGCATTAACTAATTTAATCTTCACCTTAACCCTATAAAGATAGGTTATGATAGTTAGTCTCATTACATATGTAAAAGAACTGAGGCACAGGGAGAGTAAGAGCTAAGTAGCAGGGCCAAGGCATCTGGCTTCAAAGCCTATACTCTTTAAGCACTATGATACAATAGCCATATAATGTAATTTTTTTTTTTTTGAGGTGGAGTTTTGCCCTTGTCACCCAGCCTGGAGTGAATGGTGCAATCTCGGCTCATTGAAACTTACGCCTTCCCAGTTCAAGTGATTCTCTTGCCTCAGCCTCCTGAGTAGCTGGGATTACAGGCACCTGCCACCACACCCAGCTAATATAATCTATTAAGAAAATCTATTAAAAGTTTAACTCTGTAAAATTGAAAATATACCATTTTTATCTACAAATAGAGGCAATTTCATATGGTTTTACTAAATATAAACTAATATACAGTATGCCAATATTTTATTTGTAAAAATCTGGAAGATGTTTTAAAAGCATTTACAATCTCATAGCTCAGAAACTACTGTTTCTATGTTGGTGTCGATACTTTCAGTTTATGTTCATGTATAGGTGTGTATATCTGTATTTTTTCACTTAACATTATATAAACACCCTAGGTGTTTGAAAATACAACTTCTGATGGCTGTATTATGTTCCACTCTATGAAAAAGGATAAGAAATTTATTTCACTTTTGATATACTTAGTAAACGGTTGAGGTTCCCTCTGCTCAACAATGGCTCTTAATAGGTCAAGAAAGAATTTGGAGGTTTCTTGGTCAAGATATTACCCTTGTCTGCGTTCACACCTGTAATCCTAGCACTTTGGGAGGTGGAGGTAGGTGGATCACATGAGGCCAGGAGTTCAAGACCAGACTGGGTAACATGGCAAAACCCATTCTGTACTGAAAGTACAAAACTTAGCTGGGCATGGTGGCACATGCCTGTAATCCTAGCTACTTGGGAGGCTGAGGCATGAGAACTGCTTGAGCCTGGGAGGCAGAGATTGCAGTGAGCTGAGATTGCACCACTGTACTCCAGCCTGGAAGATAGAGTGAGACTCTGTATCAAAAAAAAAAAAAAGATACTATGCTTAATGAATGACATGGGATCTTATTTTTAATAAGATACATTTTTAAAATAAATTAAAATTATGCAGCCTGTTTTAACCATAATCCCTACCCCATTTCAATAGTCTCATTGTCAATGCAATTTAAATAACGAATAAAATATGGCAATGATAAAACACACAGATATAGGCCTAGGAGAAACTCAAGAAGTCATCTATTCTGACTTTTTCATTCTGAAAACAGAAAAGCACAGATAACTGAGAAGTGGCTACAGAACTTTTTCATACTCACACTTGGTGAAATATATTTATCTTCATCAATTTCTAATGGAACAGCAATCAATTTTTGGAAGGCCTTCTTCATTTTTTCTTGGTCTCCAACAGCAAAATAACAGACAGTTAGGTTGTAGCCTGCCTTCAGATTTGGTGCCATGCTCATTATGTGCTCATATGAATTAATGGCATCTGAATACTGACCAGCCTGAATAAATGTAACTCCAATGTTCTGCATTATTTTAATCCTAAAAAAAACCAACATGGATTAATTTTAAAATTCTGAACTCTTTAGTATGGCATTCAAACCATTCCACAAATAGTTTTCTTTTTTCCTCTCCTACTTTACTTCTTTTCTTAAAGCTTTATTGATAAAGCTTTATATATATATATATATATATACACACACACCATAAAATTCACTCATCTTAAGTATATGATTCAATAATTACTTCTGTATTTATATAGTTGTGGAACCATAACCACATCCTTATTTTAACTCATTTCCATTACCCTAAAAAGAAAACCTGTGCCCACTGGCAGTCATTCCCCATTCTTATCCCCAGCCCTAGGTAACCATTAGTATATTTTGTCTGTCTTTTCTAGACACTGTATATAAATGGAGTCATACAATTTGTGATATTTTGTCTTGCTTCTTTCACTTGGCATAATTTTTTGAGATTCTTCCATTTCATAGCATGTATCAGTACTTCCTTTTTTTGTCAAATAGCATTTCACAGTCTGAATATGTACTGTATTTTATATATACATTGCCTACTTGGTAGACATTTGTCTTGTTTCTTTTTGGCTATTATGAATAATTTTGTATGAACATTTGTATAAAAGCCTTTGTGACAATCTACATTTTCCTTTCTCTTGGGTACACAACCTAAAAGCAGAATTGCTGGTCACATGGTAAATCTGTTTTACTTTTTAAACTGACTGCCTGGGACCGACTCAAGATGGCACGGTAAGAACAACCCAGGATTGAAGCTCACGGTGAAAGCGCGGAGGGTGAGTCAGGGCCGCATTTCCAGACGGATCTTTGTTGCCCACAGAACGGGGAAATTCCCAGGTATAAAAGAGACGCGGGACGCCAGTGCAGCGGTTTTGGCTGGTGCAGCCGGTGGCCGGCGCTACACCGCAGTGGCGCTCCATAGCGCTCCGCGCAAAGTGCACTGGTCTGAGTGCCCTGTTTAACCGGCAATCTGAGACTTGAGAGGGCAGATAGGCATATCCATCTGATTGAACGGGACTTGGACAGTGAGCCAGGCCAGGAGATTTCAGGGAAACGGCGTTTGGGCCAGCACAGTGGGACAAACAAAACGGCAATTCCAAACGCTCTGGGTGGAGAGTTTCACTGTGGGCACAGCTGAACCCAGGACGGTGCAGCTTGGTGGGGGAGGGGCGTCTGCCATTACCAAGGCAATCCGCCCCTACTGAGGTTACACTCCCATTGCTGACGCAGCCTGCCGTTGCCGAGGTAACCCACCACAACAGAGAATCCGCGGCAGGGCGTAGCCCCTGGCAGCAGGGTGGAGACCGCAGCAGCAGGGCAGAGCCTGCAGCAACAAGGCGGACCTCACACCAGCAGGGCGGAGCCTCGGCAGGCAAATAGTGACTAGACTGCCTCCTAGCTGGGCAGTACAGTGCAACGGACACTCATAAAGAAAGCCCCAAACCCCCAAGACAGAGCATCTGAGGAAAAAAAGGTTTTTTTTTTATGAGTTCTGCTGCAGAAGAATTAAATGTAGCAGCCTAACAGCCCTGAATGAACAACAGAGCTCACAGCTCAGCACTTGAGCTCCTATAAAGTATAGACTGTCTCCTCAAGCAGCTCCCTGACCCCTCTATATCCAGAAGACTGACATTTGGCAGGCATCATTCTGGGACAAAGATAGCAGAAAAAGAAACTGGTAGCATCCCTCACTGTTCCGCAGCTGCTATAGGTGCACCCCAGACAAGCAGGGCCTGGAGTGGACCTCAGCAGTCGTACAGTGGAGGGCTAGACTGGTAGAAGGAAAACCAAGTAACAGAAATACTTCATCATCAACAATCTGGGCGTCCACTCGGAGACCCAATCAAAAAGTCAGCAACTACTCAGACGACAGGTGGCTAAATCCACAAAGATGGGAAGAAGCCAGAGCAAAAAGGAGGAAAACACCCGAAACCAGAACACCTCGCTTCCTACAAAGGACCAAAACTCCTCACCAGCAAGGGAACAAAGCTAGACGGAGAATGACTGTGACGAAATTAGACTTCAGAAGGTGGATAATGAGAAACTTTTGTGAGCTAAAAGAACATGTTTTAAATCAATGCAAAGAAACTAAGAACCTTGAAAAAAGATTCGAGGAAATGTTAACAAGAATGGATAACTTAGAGAGAAATATGAATGAACTGAAGGAGCTGAAAAAAACAATACGAGAACTTCATGAAGCATGCACAAGTTTCAACAGCCGAATTGACCAAGCAGAAGAAAGAATATCAGAAGTCGAAGATCAACTCAATGAAATAAAACAAGAAACCAAGATTAGAGAAAAAAGCACAAAAAGGAATGAACAAAGTCTATAAGAAATGTGGAACTATGTGAAGAGACCTAACCTATGTTTGATAGGTATACCAGAATGTGACGAAGAGAATGAATCCAAGCTGGAAAATACTCTTCAGGATATTATCCAGGAAAATTTCCCCCACCTAGCAAGACAGGCCAACACTCAAATGCAGGAAATACAGAGAACATCACAAAGATATTCTGCAAGAAGAGCAACCCCAAGGCACATAATTGTTAGATTCACCAGGGTTGAAATAAAGGAGAAAATACTAAGGGCAGCCAGAGAGAAAGGTCGGGTTACCCACAAAGGGAAGCCCATCAGACTCACAGCAGATCTCTGAGCAGAAACTCTACAAGCCAGAAGACAGTGGGGGCCAATATTCAACAGCCTTAAAGAAAAGAACTTTCAACCCAGAATTTCATATCCAGCCAAACTGAGCTTCAGAAGTGAAGGAAAAATAAAATCCTTTGCGAACAAGCAAGTACTCAGAGATTTTGTCACCACCAGGCCTGCTTTATAAGAGTTCCTGAAAGAGGCACTACACATAGAAAGGAACAACCAGTACCAGCCATTCCAAAATCACACTAAATGCTAAAGAGCATCAACATAATGAATAATCTACATCAACTAACGGGCAAAACAGCCAGCTAGCATCAAAATGGCAGTATCAAATTCACACATAACAATATTAACCCTAAATGTAAATGGACTAAATGCACCAATCAAAAGACACAGACTGGAAAATTGGATAAAAAACCAAAACCTATCAGTGTGCTGTATCCAGGAAACCCATCTCACATGTAAAGATACACAAAGGCTCAAAATAAAGGGATGGAGGAAGAATTACCAAGCAAATGGAGAGCAACAAAAAGCAGGAGTTGCAATTCTCATCTCTGATAAAATAGACTTTAAAGCAACAAAGATCAAAAGAGACAAAGAAGGCCATCACATAATGGTAAAAGGATCCATACAACAAGAAAAGCTAACGATCCTAAACATATATGGACCCAATACAGGAGCACCCAGATACATAAGGCAAGTTCTTAATGACTTACAAAGAGACGTAGACTCCCACACAATAATAGTGGGAGACTTTAACACTCCACTGTCAATATTAGACAGATCAACCAGATAGAAAATCAACAAGGATATCCAGGGCTTGAACTCAGACCTGGAACAAGCAAACCTGATAGACATTTACAGAACTCTCCACCTAAATCCACAGAATATACATTCTTCTCAGCACCACATCACACCTACTCTAAAATTGACCACATAATTGGAAGTAAAGCACTCCTCAGCAAATGCAAAACAACTGAAATCATAACAAACAGTCTCTCAGACTATAGTGCAATCAAGTTAGAACTCAGAATTCAGAAACCAACTCAGAACCGCACAGCTTCATGGAAACTGAACAACTGGCTCTTGAATGTTGACTGGATAAACAATGAAATGAAGGCAGAAATAAAGAAGTTTTTCTAAACCAATGAGAACGAAGACACAACATGCCAGAATCTCTGGGACACATTTAAAGCAGTCTCTAGAGGAAAATATATAGCAATAAGTGCCCATATGAGGAGAATGGAGAGATCCAAAATTGACACCCTATCGTAAAAATTGAAAGAGCTAGAGGAGCAAGATCAAAAAAACTCAAAACCTAGCAGAAGACAAGAAATAACTAAGATCAGAGCTGAACTGAAGGAGATAGAGACACAAAAAAACCCTTCAAAAATTCAATAAATCCAAGAGCTGGTTTTTTGAAAAGATCAACAAAATAGACAAACCACTAGCCAGATTGATAAAAAAGAAAAGAGAGAACAACCAAATAGATGCAATAAAAAATGACAAAGGGGAAATCACCACAGATTCCACAGAAATTCAAAATCAGAGAATATTACAAACAACTCTATGCACATAAACTAGTAAACCTGGAAGAAATGGATAAATTCCTGGACTCCTGTGTCCTCCCAAGCTTAAACCAGGAGGAAGCTGAAACTATCAATAGACCAATAACAAGGTCAGATGTCGAGGCAGCAATTAAGAGCCTACCACACAAAAAAAGCCCAGGTCCAGATGGGTTCACAGCCGAATTCTACCAGACACACAAAGAGGAGCTAATACTATTCCTTCTGAAACTATTCCAAATAATCCAAAAAGAGGGAATACTTCCCAAATCATTTTATGAGACCAACATCACCCTGATACCAAAACCCAGCAGAGACCCAACAAGAAAAGAAAACTTCAGGCCAATATCCATGATGAACATAGATGCAAAAATCTTCAATAAAATATTGGCAAGCCGATTGCAACAGCAAATCAAAAAACTTACCCATCATGATCAAGTAGGATTCATCCTGGTGATGCAAGGCTGGTACAACATATGCAAGTCTATAAACGTAATTCACCACATAAACAGAACCAAAAACAAAAACCACGATTATCTCAATTGATGCAGAGAAGGCATTCGACAAAATTCAACAGCCCTGTATGCTAAAAACCCTCAATAAACTCAGTATCGATGGAACGTATCTCAAAGTAATAAAAGCTATTTACGACAAACCAACAGCCAATATCATACTGGATGGGCAAAAACTGGAAGCATTCCCTTTGAAATCCGGCACTAGACAAGGATGCCCTCTTTCACCACTCCTATTCAATATAGTACTGGAAGTTCTAGCTAGAACAATCAGGCAAGAAAAAGAAATAAACTGTATTCAAATAGGAAAGGTGGAAGCCAAATTGTCTCTATTTGCAGACGACATGATAGTATACTTAGAAGATCCCATCTCCTCAGCCCAAAAACTCCTGAAACTGATAAGCAACTTCAATAAAGTCTCAGGATATAAAATCAATGTGCAAAAATCACAAGCACTCCTCTACACCAATAAGAGACTTAAAGAAAGCCAAATCAAGAACAAACTGCCATTCACAATTGCTACAAATAGAATAAAATACCTAGGAATACAACTCACAAAAAACGTAAGGGACCTCTTCAAGGAAAACTACAAATCACTGCTCAACGAAATAAGAGAGGACACAAACAGATGGAGAAACATTCCATGTTCATGGTTAGAAAGAATGAATATCGTGAAAATGGCTATACTGCCCAAAGTAATTTACAGAATCACCGCTATCCCCATCAAGCTACCATTGACTTTCTTCACAGAACTGGAAAAAACCACCATGAACTTCATATGGAACCAAAAGAGAGCCCACACAGCCAAGTCAATTCTAAGCAAAAAGAACACAGCAGGAGGATCACACTACCGGATTTCAAACTATACTATAAGGCTACAGTAATCAAAACAGCATAGTACTGGTACCAAAACAGAGATATAGACCAATGGAACAGAACAGAGGCATCGGAGGCAACACAACGTATCTACAACCATACAATCTTTGATAAACCTGACAAAAACAAGCAATGGGGAAAGGATTCCCTGTTTAATAAATGGTGTTGGGAAAACTGGCTAGCCATGTGCAGAAAGCAGAAACTGGACCCCTTCCTGACACCTTACACTAAAATTAACTCCAGATGGATTAAAGACTTAAACATAAGACCTGGCCACATAAAAACCCTAGAAGAAAATCTAGGCAAAATCATCCAGGACATAGGAGTAGGCAAGGACTTCATGAACAAAACACCGAAAGCATTGGCAACAAAAGCCGAAATAGACAAATGGGACCTAATGAAACTCCACAGCTTCTGCACGGCAAAAGAAACAGTCACTAGAGTGAATCGGCAACCAACAGAATGGGAAAACATTTTTGCAGTTTACCCATCTGACAAACAGCTGATATCCAGAATTTACAAAGAACTCAAACAGATTTACAGGAAAAAAACAAACAAGCCCATTCAAAAATGGGCAAAGGATATGAACAGACACTTTACAAAAGAAGACATACATGAGGCCAACAATCATATGAAAAAATGCTCATCCTCATGGGTCATTAGAGAGATGCAAATCAAAACCATATTGAGATACCATCTCACGCCAGTTAGAATGGCAATCATTAAAAAATCTGGAGACAACAGATGCTGGAGAGGCTGTGGAGAAAAAGGAACACTTTTACACTGTTGGTGGGAGTGTAAATTAGTTCAACCATTGTGGAAGACAGTGTGGCGATTCCTCAAGGCCTTAGAAATAGAAATTCCATTTGACCCAGCAATCCCATTACTGGGTATATATCCAAAGGACTATAAATCGTTCTACTATAAAGACACATGCACACGAATGTTCATTGCAGCACTGCTTACAATAGCAAAGACCTGGAACCAACCCAAATGCCCACTGATGATAGACTGGACTGGGAAAATGTGGCACATATACACCATGGAATATTATGCAGCAATCAGAAATGATGAGTTCGTGTCATTTGTAGGGACATGGATGAATCTGGAGAACATCATTCTCAGCAAACTGACACAAGAACAGAAAATGAAACACCGCATATTCTCACTCATAGGCGGGTGATAAAAAATGAGAACACATGGACACAGGGAGCGGAGTACTAAACACTGGGGTCTATTGGAGGGGGCCAGCGAGGGGGGGAGCTGGGGAGGGATAGCCTGGGGAGAAATGCCAAATATGGGTGAAGGGGAGAAAGGAAGAAAAACACACTGCCATGTGTGTACCTCTGCAACTGTCTAGCATGTTCTGCACATGTACCCCAAAACCTAAAATGCAATAAAAAATAAAAAATAAAATAAACTAACTGCCTATTTTTCAAAGTTGTTGCACCATTTGACATCTCCAGTGAATGAGGCTTCTAATTTCTCTACATAATCACCGAAACTTGTTACTGTGATTAGAGCCATTCTAGTGGATGGGATCCCACCTTATTTCTAAACACTCTTCAGTAAAATCCCTCTATTTCAACTAAATTAGTTTATAATCCTCTGATCAGATCATAAAGACTATTATTTCCCTGACTGGTCTCAGGTGTTGCCTTTTTCTCAGAAGTTATCTCTTCTCTCTTCTTAAAATTTAGCCAATATCAAGTATACCTCCTTCATAAAGGCTTTCTTGACCACTCTTGTTCTCAATAATAATTTATTCCACTGAATTATTATAGCACCTGTGGGGGGGAAATCCTGCAAGTGCTGTGGCAAGGGTCTGAAGCCTCAGCCTGTTCCCATATAAATACTGAGTTAGAAAAGAATTAGAAATATAGGCACAGTTGTTCCTTTACATAATCATATATAATCTTATAGTTACTCACATATAATCATAAAGATATATACTCAGTATAACCTTTAATTTTAATAATGACTATCGGGTTATGAAGCATGGAATTGAGGTGACATTGTGAACAAAGTGATCCTAAGGCAAGACGCTCTAAGCCCTCTGTCACGAACACATGAGGGCTGCTGGAGGGTGCCTCGGCTGTGCGGCAGCCATCTGAGGGCTCGTCTGTGCGCAGACATCTGGGGTCTTAACTATCCTCTGTGTGATGCTGTGCTTCAGTGGCCATGTTCCATGTCCACTCTCACGCTCCACTTCTGCACCTGGTTTCTCTTTTACTCGGAAGGTAAGAATTAATGTCCTTGATATTTCTAACAAATATACGAAGTGTGTTGATGCATTAGGTTTTCTCCTCGCCTCAACTACTTGAAAGTCCTGGGCCCACTATCTCCAAGACGCGTGATTTACCTGACCCTATTACTGACCACCATTACCTCACCTTATCTTCCCTGCCCACTGCTTTGTACTCAATAAAAGTCAGTGTCCAGACACTCAGGACTACTGCAGGTCTCCACTTTGGATGGCAGTGGACTCCAGGCCCTAAACTCTCTTTTCTCTATCTCTAGGTCTGTGTCTTTTATTTCTACAGTTTCTAGTCTCCATACCAACAAGGAGGAGTTCACAGAACCCTACAAGGCTGGACCCTACAGCACCCATTGTCTTATTATTGATTATGAAACACTTAATATATACTACTCAATACTATTATCTTTTTTCTAAAATGCTCAAATTCTTGGTCTCACCTGGCTTAAAAGTACTTCAAGGGTGTTGTGTTCTTGAGTCAGATAATATTTGCTAATGATAAGATATGTAAAACTCAAAAACAAATGATCTTAAAAGGTGGTATTGCAAATAAATTAATTTTCACAGAGAAATGGTACTGTGTCTATGGGATATTATTACCAGTAACTATCCTGGAAACTTTCTATGTCCCCACAGTTATCACTAGACCATAAGAGAACTGATTGTTTCTGCTCCTGAATATTGCAGGAAGGAAAAACATCCCAGCTTCGCCCTCTTCTAAGACTCAGAAGTAATCCTTTTGTCTCACTATTTCATTCTCAAGCTATAGCAAGAACATAAGGGGGGCTTAATTTCTATCCTTGTATTCTAAAGTTCGATATGTTCTGGAGGACTGCTATTATGATTTTGTGTCCACATTGTTATATCATGATACTAATGGCCTTCAGCGTTAACCCCTTTATTGGTCACTTAGCTTAGTTTTATTTCACATGATCACATACAATGTTTTAACCTTTAACTTGTCATTATAAAATGTGTGCAAGTAGTAAGAAGGGAACAGATCAAAATACTACACATATAAATCTTAGGTACAAATACTTCAAAATATTCAACCCACTGAAAACAGATCAGAAGAGTTATCTTGTTTTGGAAAAACTTAAATTTTACGATTATCATCTACTGGTAAAAACTTACCTCATTTGCTTATTGACACTTGGAACTTGGTCTAATGCCATTCGGTAAAATTTAATGGCTTTGGAATAATTTCTTTGCTTTAAATAGATATTTCCCATATTCGTTTTCAATATTCCTAATTAAAAAAAATTAATGAATATATAATATTCTCATTTTTCCACTCTTTCTGATATTTTAGATGACTTTTAATTCATATTCTCTGAAGCATTTCTCAGTTATGAAGTCTCAGACATTATCTAAAATTCTAAATTCTAAACAGTTATACTTTTTCAAACTGATCTCCTGTGAAGAAATGGAACCGAGGACAGATATATTCCCAAAACTATGGCTAGAAAACAGCTGATTTACATTATTGTGCTTTACATTATTGTGTATTCTTCTAAAAAACCATGGAACTGAAAGACATTTAAAAATTAGATTCAAGAATGCTACATACATTTTAATAATATTAAAGGAAACGACATTCTGATAAACATTAATACTACTATTGAAAAATTACACAGTATAAATGTTAAATATAAACTATAATCTCTTGGGGATAAATTTATATAAGAAAAAAGCACATTCTATGAGATTGCCATCTCTCATTCTACTTGTGATACCAGAATACATTTTTCCTGTTTACTATTAGGCAGTATACTTCATACTAATTATGTTTCTTCATCTGTAAGGATTTTTATATAAACAGTATGTTTAAGCAGGATATACCTATCATAAATACCAATTTGCTTAGAGCATAGATCATTTCATTTTAAAGAAGCACAAAATGAGGACATATAAATCAACACTACGAAAGAATTACATCTACTGGAAAAACTGATTATATACACCTACCTGCATTGCTAAACATCTTATTTTTCACTATAACTTGATACGTGTTAAGTGCTTCGGCATACATTTCATTAACTGAATACTGACTGGCCAAATTGAAAAGAACCTAAAAAAGAACATATTGCAGAAAAGACACATAATGACCACTTTAGGCCCCTTTTGCCTATAGATCTTTCTAGAGATTAAAATCCTGTAATAAAGTTAACTACTTATATCAAGATACTAAACCAATATCTTGGTTGAGTAAACAAAAGAAATATCTTGCATTCCAAATCAACATTAAGAAAGGAAGAGCTATCCTCTAAATTTCACCTTAATTTTCTATGTATCCTACTGAATTTAGTAGTATTTTCCATCTATTAATCTCTGGAAGACCAACAAAGAATAAATGTGTATCATTAATGCTGCTGGTGATCAAAGAAATAAGCAAGATAGTGAACTAAATTCTTTTTGTAAATATAAATTAAACGTGGAAGTATCTTAAAACTTAAAGTCTATCAGAGAAGAATTTGTATAGTAAGAGCTCTGTATACTAAATTACAATTTAAGTCATTAACTTATAGGAAATTATGCTCCTAAAGGTAAAAAATGATCACCATAAATTATCCCTGAAAGATTTAATGGAATTTTAGAATATCAGCTATAAACAGTAAGCTCTAACATTTTACAATTTCGAATGCCCTTTTTTTCCTATGTTTAGTATATGAAAACTTTACCCACTAAAAAAACACTCCCCCCTTCTTTTTTTTTTTTTTTTTTTTTGAGATGGAGTCTGTCTCTGTCACCAGGCTAGAGTGCACAGGCACAATCTCGGCTCACTGCAACCTCTGCTTCCCAGGTTCAAGGGATTCTCCTGCCTCAGCCTCCCAAGTACCTGGGATTATAGGTGTGTGCCACCATGCCCAGCTAATTTTTGTATTTTTAGTAGAGACGGGGTTTCACCATATTGGCCAGGATGGTCTCCATCTCTTGACCTTGTGATCAGCCCACCTGAGCCTCCCAAAGTGCTGGAATTACAGGCGTGAGCCACCATGCCCGGCTGAAAATACACCCTTTTAAAAAACAGAAATGCAAACATCAAGGAGGAATCTTTCTAGAATTAAATAAATTTTGCTAGCAATTAGAGGAATTAGATTTTTTTCCCCCACTACCCTCGTAGAACATTATCTTATTTGCCTAGTTTGAAGTTCTTAAAAATCGCTGATCCAAAAGTCTACATTACAATCTCATCCAAATAACTACCTGGATAACGCATAAAAATTAGTGCTCTTCAAGAAATAGAGCCATTGGATGATAGGTTTGCAGGTACTTACTAAGTTATCAAAATATATACATATTTTTAAATAAATAGAGATGAGGTCTCACCATGTTGCAGAGGCTGGTCGCAAACTTCCAAGCACAAGTAGTCCTCCCACCTTGGCCTCCCAAAGTGTCAGAATTACAGGCATGAGCCACCGCACTCAGCCCAAAACAACTAGTTAAACAACTAAATAAAAGAGCTCTTTGTATAAAACAAAGACAAGAGTGTTTCATGAACTAAAGATTATTATTTTAATCTAATTCTGAGTACCTGAAGACCAATAAGATTTTTAAAACGAAAGAGACACTGGAACCCATTAACCCTAGCCAAAATTTTATTTAAAAATGTTGTTATATTTCAATACTTACTGAGTAAGTTAAATCCAAATTGATATTTTCTGGAGTTGTAGCTTGTTCTCGCTGTCTCACCAGGACTCTCTCTTTTCTTCCTGCATCTTTTGCCTTTTCTAAGGCCTGAAATCAGATTTATACCTTGTAATTTCCTTTGGGTGTTCATCAACTTTTATGCATTTGAGGAGTATCTACATAAAGGTTGGATAAATTCATTTTCTATCCTCAGATTCCCCAGGACACCCCTCTGTTTCTGGTAACAACCACAAACTTATCTTTGAAAGGGAATTTTTTTTAGAATGACAAAAAAAAGCACCAGTTCTATGAGTAATAAAAGTAGCTTTTTAAAGTGAACGTTTCTTTCTATTGGTATTAATTCCGTACGAATTCCCAGAAATTATATTTATATGACATGACAATCAAAGTAATGTGAACAAAGTAAATTAAAAGAAATGATAGTTAAAAAGCAAAGTTAGATTCTCAAAAAGCAAACTATAATTTTTTTAGTTTGCTTAGGAAAAAATATTTTGATAGTAGTGAGGCTTCAAGAAGAAAACAGCTCTTGGCACTGTGTGTAGCTCATGGTAGCATGCCTTTCAGCAGCATATTGGGGTCTAATCCAATAGTCCACCAGGCTGCAAAGTTAAGTCTACCAATACATTAGAATTTTTTTTCCCTACTGAAAGACTAATGTCAAAAATGACAAAATCAGCCAATTGTTTTGACATTCAAATTGAAACCGAGTTACAATTCCTTGTTCTCAAAATAATCGCTTTTTATCCTAAGACCAGTCAATGGTAAAAAAAAAATTTGTCTATACATATAGTGTATGTATAAAAGCAGACATACATCTATACATGCTTTGTAATCTTGAATCTTATTAGTTTATGAACTTACCAATTTTAAGTCTCCACAACTATTAGCAATACAGCTTTCTTCTACCAACTCATTTACTTCCTTCTCTAATTGCTTTATTTTTTCTTCTGGGCTTTTAAAGAAAAAAGCAGGTATAATTTAAATAATTCAACGTCTAACAATCTATACTGAAATGTATTTTATTTTATTCTATTTTATTTTAGAGATAAGGTCTCACTCAGTTGCTGGCTGGAGTGCAGTGGCATAATCATAGCTCACTGCAGCCTGCAGTCTTGACTCCTGGGCTCAGGTGATCCTCCCACCTCAGCCTCCCAAGTAGCTAGAACCGTAGGTGCACGCTGCCACACATGACTAATTTTGTTTTTGTTTTTTTTATAGAGACAGTGTCACTCCATGTTGTCCAGGTAGGCTGGTCTTAAACTCCAGGCCTCAAATGATCCTCCCTCCTCAGCCTCCCAAAGTGCTGGCATTACAGGTGTGAGCCACCACATCCAGCCTAATTTACTTTCAACATTGAATGATGTGCATTTAAACTTTAATAGGTTATAGATAAGACAAATGTATACATGGCATTGAAGGGCAAATGCAGTACTGTTTTTAACAACTACATCATGTAATTATTCATAATAGTAAAATAATAACAACAGTCAAGATAGGTAACATGGCTGGGCATGGTGGCTCCCACCTGTAATCCCAGCATTTTGGGAGGCTGAGGCGGGTGGATCACTTGAGGTCAGGAGTTTGAGAGCAGCCTGACAAACATGGTAAAATGCTGTCTCTACTAAAAAATATAAAAATTAACTGGGTATTATGGCAGGCTCCTGAATCTCAGCTATTGGGGAGGCTGAGGAGGAGAATCACTTGGACCTGGCAGGTGAAGGCTGCAATGAGCTGACATCGCATCACTGCACTCCAGCCTGGGCAACCGAGTGAGACGTCATCTCCAAAAAAAAAAATTACGTATTTGGAAACTAAAAATAAAAAATATGCAGCAACAACAACATAAGGACTTACATACCTATCTTTTTTCTTGACTTCCAAAGGAGGAGCAGGGCCCCTTGACTGCCCAAGTGGGTCAAATGCAGAGCCTGAGACACAATTGAAGAATTAACATTCAGTTTGTAACCCAGCAAAATTGAAGAAAATATGAAAATATAAAACGTCGTATAAGTTGTTTCATTTACCTATTAAATGGTTTCCATTACCTATTTATTTAATGGAGTCAACACTGTGTCCATATAAACATTTCACATTTTGGGAAATTGGTAAGATATTTTAACATACATAAAACTATATAAATAATACATGTGTTAAAACTTAAAAAGAAAAACAAGATATTCTCAGCATTTACTTCCTCTTCCACAGTGATTTGTCCCTATTATCAACCCTAAATTATCAGTCACATGTCTTGTAACTTTGTATTGGTTTTTTAATTTTCCTTATTGGCATACTAAACATTAATTTTTGTCATTAATTTTATTTTTAAATTATCATTTAACTTACTACATATTATTATTATTTTAAATTGTACTTTAGGTTCTGGGTTACATGTGCAGATCATGCAGGATTGTTGCATAGATACATACATGGCAATGTGGTTTGCTGCCTCCATCCCCCTGTCACCTATATCTGGCATTTCTCTCCATATTATCCCTCCCAAACCTCCCTACTCCCCGCTGTCCCTCCCCTAGTCCCCCCCAACAGACTCCAGTGTGTGATGCTCCCCTGTCTGTGTCCATGTGTTCTCATTGTTCAATACCTGCCTATAAGTGAGAACATGCAGTATTTGATTTTCTGTTCTTGTGTCAGTTTGCTGAGAATGATGGTTTACTGATTCATGCATGTTCCTACAAAGGACATGAACTCATTGTTTTTTATGGCTGCATAGTATTCCATGGTATATATGTGCCACATTTTCTTTGTCCAGTCTATCAATGATGGGCATTTGGGTTGGTTCCAGGTCTTTGCTATTGACAAATTACACCATGGCTTAATTACCACCCCAAGAGATGTGTAGAAGATTTCATCATCCCTTTCCTTTCTATATACATACATACATATATATATATATTTTGTTTGTTTGTTTGTTTGTTTGTTTTCAGATGGAGTCTTGCTCTGTCCCCAGGCAGGAGTGCAGTGGCGCAATCTCGACTCACTGCAACCTCCACCTCCTGGGTTCAAGTGATTCTCCTGCCTCAGCCTCCCAAGTAGCTAGGACTACAGGCGTGCGCCACCATGCCCAGCTAATTTTTGTATTTTTAGTAGAGAAGGGGTTTCACCATGTTGGCCAGGATGGTCTCCATCTCTTGACCTTGTCATCCGCCCGCCTCAGCCTCCTAGAGTGCTGGGATTACAGGTGTGAGTGACCACTCCTGGCCATCCCTTTCCTTTCTTAATGGTACCTAAAATATCGGTGCATCTTACAGTCAACGGCATTGTTAGATTTTATTTAAAATGGCATTAATATTTATACTCACAAAATGGTAAAAGATTAAAAGATCCAAAAAAGATTATTATTAGAGACAGTGTAACAAACCTCTCAAAGCTGCTTTGGTAAAACCAGCTGCTCTCACTGCTGTCATGGGTCTAGTAACTCCATCCTTTAAAGAGAGTGGGAATATTTTAAAAAGTATTCTTAAATAAGATCTAGCTCCTATGTACAGTTCTACACATTACACACACCTTAATATAGCCCCATTTAAAAATGCCAATTTTTAATCACTATATGTTTGCTCCTTACTTCCATCTCCTCATGTATCAATCCTGTCCTCTCTCCACTTCAGAATTTCAATTATTTGATCTTACTAGGCTTATAGTTGGAAAAAAATAATTAGCTTATTAGCCAGCTATGCTCCTACTTTTGGTTGGCTTCTTACATACTTGTGACAGAAACCGTAGAATTTGTTGTAAATGGTAGCACAGGAAAAATGAGCCCCAGAATACATCACATCAGCAATTATCAGTTCTGTCCACTCCCCAATAGAAATTCATTTAAGACCTGGGTAAATATATCTAAAGAGACCTCGCCTTCAAAGATTTACGACAGTTTAGACTTTAGCCCACAATATAAAGAATCTGGGTCACTATATGAGTAATATTTTCTTTAACATTTTAAAATAATACAATAAAGTAAAAAACCTTCAGTAGTAAATTTCAAGTCACAATAAAGGCACATGAACAAACATACAATAGAGATACCTGAATAGCTCCTGTCATTGGTCTTCCTACGGATGATGCCAGGGATGTCTTGGACTAATAAACAGAAAAGTAAAGTTAAAAGGATTCCTACAAACACCTATCTTAAATTTTAAAACCAAGTTATAGAAGTATTCTTCATTCTATCGGCAAATAAACAAACAATTTCTTCCTTTTACCTCCTGGTACAGGAGTAAAACTATGAAACTCTAAAACAGGGAGCAGAAAACTATAACTGGTAGCCTTTTTAAATAAAGTTTTATTGGAACATAGTCATGCCCCATTCCTTTGCACATTGCCTATGGCTGCTTTTGCTTTACAGATGCAGAGTTGGATAGCTGCAACAGAGACCATATGATCTGCAAAGCCTAAAATATCCAGCACTTCATGGAAAAAGTTTGCTCTTATTCTGAAACACCACCAAAAATCAAATTCATAAGTAACACACACTCAGGCTAGCTAATAAAAGCACGTTTCATATGACACACAGTTATGTTATGTAGAAGGCTACTTTCTTCACTCATATAAAGGAACATTATGAAGGCAAGTGCCTTGGACCTCTAGGTTCTGAAGACATTTTTTTGACTAAGAAATGCTATTTCACCTAATTCTTCCATTTTTCTTATTCCTCTGTTATTTCATATAAGCTAAAACATCCAAATTATAAGTAATCTGGGCAAGATTAAAAGGTTTATTACTTTTATAGAGTTTAATATATCTTTTCTCCAAAAGCCTCTAATACAAGACCCAAATATACACTTCTGAAACACTTTTCTTAAATTTTATATTTGTTAATCAGTAAATGTTTCCCAATTATACACACTATTAGACTGATATAACATCAAACTTCACATAAAATATATAAATGGAATACACAAGACTTGGTTGTATAATGTAGAAAATGACAGAAGTCAACGAACACAGGGTTTACAAATGGAAAAAGGTAATAAAATATCTTCTGATACAAATCTAACTGACTAGAATATTCAAATTTATTAATCGTACTAGACTTGTATAATGTTCATAACTATCCAAAATGGAAATATATCTGGGTTATGACCTAAAATATAATAAAATTATTCCAAACTGCCTAAAATGAAATATGTATGAGAAAAAGCATCTTATATTTTCAGCTTACAAAAACCTACCCCATATCCAGTAGCTATAGGTCTAGTAACTGCCGTGCTTGGTATTTTAGCAGTTATCTTGGGAGGAAAAAGAACATAGTTAACAGGATTCAGACTGAGCTATATAATAGAAAACTGGAAAAGAAATATAGACTCATCAATAAAGAAATATTTCTACAATACCTAGGATAATTTCTTTTAAATTATCTTAATATTAGGGAGCTCAGGTATTTTAAGTATGTGAAGAGACTCATTCTGGAATTCATTTTAAAAGAGAAAGGGAACTTTTGAATGACCTGAGGTGTCAGTAAGAAAAATCTGTCTTCATGCTTGCATCTGTCACAAATTAAACATTTTACTGCATAATTATAACTGCTAGTCACTAGGCCAAACAATAGACATAAGATTTGGGGTCTGAGAACTTGGGTTTGAATCTCAGCTCTCCCTATAACAGCTGCCTTTATTTAATCTCTTTGAACCTATAGTTTTCTTATCTTTTAAATAAGAATACAAAGTACACGGATCACAAAATTGAAGTGAGAAACAAAGAGAACCATATAGGTAAAAGTATACTAAAAACGTTAGTTGTTAGGCAGAATTGTGAAATATTTGATTAAGAACACTCACGGAAGAATTCTACTTTTGGCTATGATGGAGTGTTTTTAAAAACCTTCTCACTAAGAACTACTGAAAGACATACATGAGGTCAAAATATTTTTTAAAGAAGTGTGAATATATTAGATAACCATCAAGACAGTGAAGAATTACAAGGACTGCAAATAAAGAAAAGAAGGGAAGCCTAGAGGGGTAAACCTGGAATTTAGGCCTGCTTTCTGCCTAAAGGCATCTGTTAATTCCAAAGCCAAGGCTGAGACACTGGGCACAGCTTTTGAGACTCACAGCCTTAAGGAATAAACATGGAAGATGAGGGCCTGCCAAGAATAGAGCCCCGGTAATCCTCCAGACTTTAGATTGTGATCTCAAAAGGCTACACCCTAAGACTAAAAGGTAAATAATAGTATACTAGCCCTCATAAGCGCTGACATCCAATTCAGAATCATCTCAAACCCGACTGGATTAAGGTGATCAGAGATTCCTACTCCTGCTAGTAGCATAAGTAAAAGGAAATTCTCTCCAGTGAAAGATAAGATCCTCTAGAGCTGTGCTATCCAATAAACTTCCTGCAGTGATGGAAAAGTTCTATATCTGGCTTTCTGATAAGACAGCCATTGTCCACACAAGGCTGTTGAACATATGAAATGTAAGCAGTACAATAAGATTTTTTTTAAACTTTAGTTTTAAATAATGTAAATGTAAATAGTTACATGTGGCTAGTGTCTCGAATACTGAATAGCGCAGACATAGAGCCATAAAGTATCTCTAAAATTTTTCACTTATAATGTCTGGCAATTAAAACCAACCAGACATATAAAAGGCAAGACTACTTAACGAAAAGCCAAGATAAAAGAATGGAAAGAAACTCAGAAAATGATGCATTATAATGGAAATATCAGGCACAGACTTTAACATAACTATGCTTAACATGGTCAATGAATTAAAAGATTAATAATATCAGCAACTGAAACTTAACTAAAAACTATAAAAAAAGAATACATGGAATTTCTAGAACTGAAAAACAGCTAAAAATAATGTAAAATCCCGGTACTGTCCAGGCAGTAGTAAAACTATTAATTTATACTAGACTTTAATAAGTTAAAGATGAGTATCATAATACTTAGGGAAACACTAAAAGAATAGTCAGAGAATGTAAACTACCAAGATAACAGAAAAAGGAAACGGAATAATAAAAAAGCAAAAAAGAAGGCAAGTAAGCAGAGAAAATGAAAAATACAAGAGGCAGGAAAAAAAAAGCAAATAGTAAGATAGCAAATGTTAAAGTAAATCAGTAACTTCATTAAATATAAGTGGAATACTTAACTAAAAGAATAAGATTGTCAGACTACTAAACAAAAAAACAATCACATGCTGCTAATAAGAATTACATTTTAAATAAGTTGATATGGAAAAGTTGGAAGTAAAAAGATAGGAAAGACATACAATAAAAATGCTAGACAAAGAGCTTGTGTAGGTATAACAATCTATTAATATCTCACAAAACAGACAAAAAGTATTACTAGAGATAGAGGCATACTTCATAACAATAAAAGGCTCAGTTTACTATGAAAATATAGCAATTCTAAATATCTTTCCTCAGATATATACAGCAAAAACCTAAAAAAAATATAAACCCACAACCATAGTGCAAGAATTGATCACACTTTCTCATTAAAAATAGAACCAGTAGGGCTGGGCACAGTGGCTCATGTCTGTAATCTCAGCACATTGGGAAGCCAAGGTGGATGGATCATGAGGTCAGGAGATGGAGACTATCCTGGCCAACATGGTGAAACCCCATCTCTATTAAAAATACAAAACTTAGCTGGGTGTGGTGGTGCATGCCTGTATTCCCAGCTACTTGAGAGGCCAAGGCAGGAGAATGCTTGAACCTGGGAGGTGGAGATTGCAGTGAGCCCAGATCATGCCACTGCACTCCAGCCTAGTGACAGAGTGAGACTCTTGTCTAAAAAAAAAAAAAAAAAAAAAAAAAAAAAAAAAAAAAAAAAAAAGAACCAGTAGGCTGGGCACAGTGGCTCACACCTGTAATTCCAATACTTTGGGAGGCCGAGGCAGGTGGATCACCTGAGGTCAGGAAGTTGAGACAATCTGACCAAAATGGTAAAACCCTGTCTCTACTAAAAATACAAAAATTAGCTGGGTGTGGTAGCTCATGCCTGTAATCCCAGCAACATAGGAGGCTGAGGCACAAGAATCACTTGAACCTGGGAGGTGAAGATTGCAGTGAGTCAAGATCATACCACTGCACTCCAGATGGGGCAAGAAAGTGAGACTCAGTCTCAAAAAAAAAAAAAAAAAAAAGCCAGTAGCCAATCAAAAAAATCAGTAAAAATATTGAGCATCTGAACAAAACCATTAATGTACTTTACCTAACTGACATATAACACTGTACCCATCAACCGCAGAACATATATATTCTTTAAGAATGCACTTGGGACATTAACAAATTTCAAAAAATTGAAAGTATACAGATTATGTTCCCTATCTAAGAATAAAACTAGAAATAAGTAACAGAAATAAGTAGAAAAATTTAATATGTTTGATAATTAAGAAATATACTTTTAAATAACCCACAGGTCAAAGAAGAAATCCCCATGGATATTAGTATATATTTTGAACTGAATCACAATGAAAATATAATTAGAGGCAAAATATGGGAAAAAACATACATATATGTTAATTCTGTAGGAAAACAGATGTCTGAATTACAGGTGATAACATATAAAGTTGTTAGGTGAACTTTAGACATTGGTTCTTTGCCTTATATGGGAAGGTATTTTAATTGTATACATGTTTCAGTATACAATTAAACTCAAGCTTGATAAGGTTGGCTCCGGGTCTTAGAAAAAAACTGAAAAGGAAGGGTATGGATCTCCACAAATTCTTCCATGAGAACAAACTGAGGGGAAGACCATTACTTTTTTTAACTACCTAATGACTAAATCTGGTTTTTGTGTTTTGTGGTCAGCACTAGGCAGCTTACTACACTCTCTTCCCTCATTTACCTTGTACACTTACCTGCAATGCCTTTTCCTCCTGTATCTCAATCTCAATTCTACACATCCTGTAATAATAAACTCCTAATTTATCTTCTAAGCATCCTCTTCTAATTTTCCCAACTAGTGGTAAATAACCTCTCTGAAATTCCATAGCAATTTATACTTTTTTATAATTCATTACTTCATGCCTTGTAATATCTAAGGGTATCCATTTAATTTTTCTTCTGAAGATTGTAAGCTCCTTAGGAGCGACCTAGAATTTTGTCCTAAGTGAATCTCTAAGATCTTTCATATAAAAAGGATAAAACTTTTTCCCATTTAATATAATAAGTAGGGTGTGATGAAAATATTGTTCAACAGAAAATCAAATGACCCATGCTCTATCCCAATTACAGACACCTATGAGACCTTGGCTTTTCCAGGCTTCAGTTTCCTCATCTATAAAATAAGAATCTCTAAAGTCATTTCTAAAGATCTTTTGAAGGGGCACCTGGCAAAATTATCACCTGTTATGTGATCCTTGAATCATTTAACTGAAGACAAAATTCACTGATTTACTAAGTTATCCAATAAAGGTGTATGGAACACTTAAATACACAAGGAAAAGAATGATGAATAAGATAATCTGCCTCTTTGAACAGCTTACAGTATAAGCACTAGCCTAGTGGAAGGGCTCAGAGCCTATGGTTTTTCTTCCCATAATGAAGGTAATTTCAAAATTAAAATATGGGTTGCAAAAAAATAAATATGGGTTTTAGAACGTATATGAAGAATTTACTCAAAGAGAGGTCTGGCCTTTGTTGTTGGCTCATAGGAGATGATTTCTATACCCCTGAAATGCTCTGCCTGACAGGAGTGTCTCTGTTTGCCTTGTTGGCCACTGGTCAGGCTATCAATGTGATTCACAATGGGGGCTTTGGGACACATCAACTTCTCGAGTTATTAGCCGGTACCTTAGGAAAGGGCTGTTGACTAAAGGTTGCCCTGGTGGGCAGCATGTGATCAAGCCCCAGAAAAAACTCTGAACACCGAAGTCTATGGTAGGATTCCCTGGTTGGCAATACTCTTCAAGTACTGTCACACAGTGTTTAGGAAAAGGTGCTGCCATATCTTGCTCCATAGGGAGAGGATGATCAGAAGTTCTGTTTGGACTACTCCTAGGCCCTGCTCTATGCATCTCTTTCCTTGGTGGATTTTAATTTGTATCCTTTCCATGATAAATAAATGTAAATATAGGAGATTTTAGTAAGTTCTTTGAGTATTTCCAGAGAATTATCATGCCTCAGGTTGGTTCTGGGAACCATGAGCTGAAGTGGGAGGAGTCTTATGGAAGACTGACTGTGTCCTCTACCTGTGCTGTGGTTTAGCCAAATTCAATGCAAGGCACACTAAATTCATTTACCCTAAATGAGATGGGCAAGCTACTCACAATGATTTGTTTTTGCTAAATAACTATGCAGGGCAGGGAGTAAGGGAGAATGTGACAAAGTGAAAGAAGATAACAGCAGAAGGACACTTCATCTAGAGCAGAGGAGCTTGAGCTGAATAACTATTACTGGGAGCTAGCCTATGCATTGTAGAACGTTTAGCAGCATCTCTGGCTGCTAACCACTAGGTGCCAGTAACACCCACTCAAGTTGTGACAACCGAAAATATCTCTCCAGGCATTACCAAATGTCCCTGGTGCAGGGGGCACAAGTGCCCCCAGCTGAGAGCCACTGCTATATAGTATTGGATGGATAGGGTGAGAAGCAGCATTTTAAAAAGGAATATTAGGCCGGGCATGGTGGCTCATGCCTGTAATCCCAGCACTTTGGGAGGCTGAGGCGGGCAGATCACAAAGTCAAGAGATCAAGACCATCCTGGCCAACACAGTGAAACCCCAACTCTACTAAATTACAAAGATTAGCTGGGTGTGGTGGTGCATGCCTGTAGTCCCAGCTACTTGGGAGGCTGAGGCAGGAGAATTGCTTGAACCCAGGAAGCAGAGGTTGCAGTGAGCTGAGATCACGCCACTGCACTCCAGCCTGGCACCTGGTGACAGAGCAAGACTGTCTCAAAAAAAAAAAAAAAAAAAAAAAAGAAATATTAGATATAGAACATTAAGGATAGAACTTTCTCTACTTCACTATTTTACTTAGTGTCAACTTTGTTTATTTTCAACTACAAACAAAGCTTGGCAGATTTCATACACTGTGAAAGGCAGATGTCTATGCTTTGTATGACACATGCAAAAATTTTAATCTTAATACTAAAAAAACTAGCAATTCATGTACTGGTGGAAAATTAATTAATAGAGAGAATATTAATTATTATTAATACAAGGAAGGGTAATCTATAAATTAAGCCCTAACGTTTTGAGGGATCAATATTTATGCCAGTTTAACAATTATAAAGGCAAATATTTTTAAAACAATTAATGTTTTAGGTAAACAATATTCTGATGCCTAATAAAAATAGTATCATTAAAATTTTCAATAACATAAGAAATCCTTTGATCTAAAATACTGTAAAATTCACTTACTAGATACACTGAAAACCACAAAATATTGATGAAAGAAATTAAAGAAGACATAAACAGATAAAAAGGCATCCTGTGTTCATGGGTTCATGGACTGAAAGACTTAATATTGTTAAGACGTCCATACTATCCAATGTATTCAATACAATCATTATTAAATCCTTATCATCCCAATGACTTTTTTACAGAAATAGAGATTTATCCTAAAATTCATATGGAATATTAAGGGACCCCAAGTAGCTAAAACAATTTTGAAAAAGAAGAACAAAGTTGGAAGATTCACACTTCCTAATTTTAAAACCTATTACAAAGCTACAGTAATCAAAAACAGTGTGGCACTCCAGCCTGGCGCCTGGCAACAGAGCAAGACTCTGTCTCAAAAAAAACAACAACAAACAAACAAAACAGTGTGGTTACTGGCATAAAGACAGACATACAAACCAATAGAACAGCATAGAGAGCCCAGAAACAAACCCTTACATATATGGTCAAATGATCTTTAACAATGTTGCCAAGACCATTCAATAGGGAAGGGACAGTCTGTACAGCAAATAGTGTTGGGAAAATTAAATATCCATGTGCAAAAGAATGAATGAAGTTGCACCTCTATCTTATACCACATATAAAAAAATAACTCAAATGGATTAAAGATCTAAATGTAAGACCTAAAACTACAAAAATCCTGAAAGAAAGCATAGGGGAAAAGCTTCATGACATTGTTCTTGGCAATGATTTCTTGAATATGCCACCAAAAGTGCAAGCAACAAAAGTAATGATAGAAGACTGGGACTATATCAAACTAAAAAACTTTGCTGTATCAAAGGATACATCAGTTTGAAAAACAATCTATACAATGAAAGAAAATACTTGCAAATCATACATCTGATAAGACATTAATATCCAGAAAATATAGAGAACTCCTACAACTTAATAACAAAAATGGACAAGTGTTCATTGACAGATGAATGAATAAAGAAAATGTGATATAAACATACTATGGAATACTATTCAAACTCAAAAAGGAAGGAGCTTCTGTTGCATGTTACAACATGGATGAACTCTAAGGACATTACACTAAGTGAATAAGCCAGTCACAAAAAGACAAACATTCTGAGACCCACTTATATAAGATATCTAAATTAGCCAAATTCATAGAAATAGGAAGTAGAATGGTAGTTACAGGGGCTTTGGGGATAGGAGAAAATGGAAAGTCTTTGTTTAATGGATACAGAGTTTCATATATACAAGATGAAAAAGTTCTGAAGATCTGTTTCACTATCATCTGAACTTAATCATGGTTATAATCTTTAACACTACAGGACTACACAGGTAAACACGGTTAAGATGGTAAATTTCATGTTATGTGTTTTTTTACTATAATTTAAAAAAATTTATTTTCACTTACTGGAGGTCTTCTGCCATAACTAGTTCTCACGGCTTGCTGAAAAGCTGCGTCATTCTCCAATTCCTAAAATGAAACAGCAAATTTGACATTCAACATAAAGTCAGAATGGGGGAAAAATAAGTTTAAACTCCTGTTTGGTACTCAAGAGCCTCTATAATTCATCTTATGCCAACTGTTGACATCTGGGTAGGGACAACCAGATTCTTACCTCAAATGTCCCCACTTCACACTACTCAGAATAGCAAGCCTTCTTCCTCTTCTAGAATGAGGAGTACTGGTCATGTTAGTCAATTTTATGGACATATTGGCTACAGTTTAAATTTGTGGTATCACAATGCCAGCCTAAAAGATCAAGTATACAAGAATATAACCTTTCTTCTGTTGTTTTTACCTGGTGGCTGAAATTGAGATTTACATCTCTCTTTCTCTCTCTCCTTCCCCTGCCCCCATCTTTCCCTCTCCTCTTCTCCTACCCTACCTGAGAAAGCCTCAGGATAGAAAAGACCCTATTTTCTATAAGCATGGGGCGCTGTCTTTGGTGCCATTTCCATCTGCCTAAATAAAAAGGACTTTTCATCTCACTAGAGAGATCAAGTCTGAGACTCAGACTGGAGCTAATCTAGGCAAATAGGGGGTTCAACAAGTTCAACCTGCACTGCCATTTGAAATCAACATCTCAGTAGAAATTAAATGTTATTTTGCTTTGCTGACTCCTGAACTGTACTTACATTCCCCCTCAGGAAATCTGAGGAGAAGAACATTAATTAAGGGCAGAATATAAGAGTTTCTGTGTTTCCTGAATAAAATACTATTTTTATGGTCTCTCAGAAGCACCAAGTCTCACCAACAGCCAACCTTCCAACCATCCTTTATTTCCTACTTCCTCTTCTACACACACTCTGGCTTTAACCCTTCAGACACATTAAATGCACAGTTCTCATCCTTGCCTCTTATTTATTTCAATCTACTTCCCACAAAAATATATGTGTCTTATTTAAAAAATAAACAACACGGCCAGGCGCAGTGGCTCACGCCTGTAATCCCAGCACTTTGGGAGGCCAAGGTGGGTGGATCACGAGCAAGAGACCGAGACCATCCTGGCCAACATGGTGAAACCCCGTCTCTACTAAAAATACAAAAAAATTAGCTGGGCGTGGTGGCACGCGCCTGTAGTCCCAGCTACTCGGGAGGCTGAGGCAGAAGGATTGCTTGAACCTGGGAGGCAGAAGTTGCAGTGAGCCGAGGTTGTGCCACTGCACTCCAGCCTGGTGCCTGGTGATGGAGTGAGACTCTGTCTCAAAAAAAATAAATAAATAAAAATAAACAACACATAAAAAATAAAGTCACTATCAATTGACTTTTTAAAAATTTGCAGATAATAGAAATAAAATGCTTACATTACTAGGATACTAATACAACACATTTTAAAACACAATTTTATTGCATATAAGCCTTCTTTAATTTTTACTTCAAATTATCTCTGTTTTTGTTTTTTTTTTTTTTGAGACAGGATCTCAATCCAACTCCCAGGCTGGAGTACAGTGGTGCAATCACAGCTCTGCAGCCTCAGCTTCGCAGGCTCAGGTGACTGTGCCACCTCAGTCTCCAAAGGAGCTGGGACTACGGGCATACACTACCACAACCTGCTAATTTTTGTATTTTTTTTAGAGACAGGGTTTTGTCCAGGCTGGTCTCAAACTAAGCTCAAATGATCTACTCCTTGGTCTCCCAAAGGGGTTACAGGCATGAGCCACTGTGCTCAGCCTAAATTATCTTTGTAACCTTCCATATCAATTATATAAAATTACATGATTCTCAGCTACCCATAGAAACTAAAGACTTTGGAATTAAATATAAATCTAAAGGTAACCTTCAACATAATTTATTATGCTTCTACTTTAGCAGATCTTTGGGTAAAAAAATTTCCCCTAAGATTCCTAAATTATTAGTAAAATTTGGTTAATCAGCTCAGTAAATCCTAACTAACTGACAAACTAAAAGGACAGTCAAAAAATTCTCCAATTACAAACACCAAACTTAAACAAACTTTTGGAACTTTCTGTTTGTCACTTGGTTAACAAATTGTATCTTCAACGAATGTCGTAAGCCATTGCTTCAAGAGTAATTAATTTATTTATTGAACTTGTTATTATTATAGTTAATTAAGATAAAGAAAACCAAGCAAAAACCAAAAATTATTTTTACTTCACTGTCTAATTTATTTTTGGGTCTGATATTGTGAGTATTCACATTAAATTATGTAGCCACAATGCAACAACCTGAGGAGGTAGGAAGTGTCTCTGGTGCTTTAAAAATGGTAATGTTCATAATTCCATTTCTGGGACTCTATCCCAGGAAGTGTTTGATCAAAACATAGAAAATTATTTATGCATAAAATTTTTACTGTAATGTTATTTACAACAGCAGAAAACAGGAAAAAATAACCTATCATGAGAAAATATTTATTTATTTATTTGAGAGGGAGTTTCGCTCTGTGGTGCAGTGGTGTGACCTTGGCTCACTGTGTAACCTCTACCTCCTGGGTTGAGTGATTCTCCTGCTTCAGCCTTCCAAGTAGCTGAGATTACAGTTGCCTGCTGAGATTTTAGATACCCACCACCATGCCCAGCTAATTTTTGTATTTTAGTAGAGATGGGATTTCACCATGTTGGTCAGGCTGGTCTCGAATCTGTGACCTCAAATGATCTGCCTGCCTCAGGCTCCCAAAGTGCTGGGATTATAGGTGTGAGCCACCATGTCTGGCGGAGAAAATGCTTCTAACCACCTATATATTTACAATATTATGTAGTCATTAAAATATTTATTTAAATATTTAGTATCATGAGACACTGCTTATGATATAGTTGAAAGTAAAAAAAAGTAAACAGAAAAGTAATCGCTAGTTCAATTCCAAACATACTAAAAGAAAACTGTGTATGTATATATGAAGGAAAGACAAAGCAAAAAAAATGTTAACAGTAGTTTTTTCTGAGTGACGAAATTACTAGTTTTTGTCTCCATGATAAGCATTTCTTACTTTTATAATTGGGAGAATGAGGAGGTTTCAATGGTTTTCATGGTTTATACTGCCCTTGAAGGAAAGGATGATGGCAGGATTCATCACCTGCTGAATAAAATAAAGAGCCCTTGAGCCGTGAATAATCAGCAGCGGTAACCATGTAGTACTTGCTGTGGGCCTGGGTTAGACCCTGAGATGTACTGGTTTCAGCTGTGACTGAGCACATTCACAGCTGTGGTGGCTACAAGGAGGACTGCTTCTGCTTGAGAAGAGGGGAGAATAAAGGAGACTTTGTCTTGCAATTTAGGTACCAGCTCAGCCACAGTGAGTCAGAGCATCAAGTGAGTTCTTAGGATCCCTGATTCCAGGCCTTGGCTCTTGGATAGCATTTCTGGACCTACCCTGAACCAGAGAGAAGCCCACTGCCTTGAAGGGTGAGTCCCAGGCCTGGCAGAATTCATCACAACCTGAAGAAAGAGTCCTTGGGCCTTCAGTGAACACTGGCAATACTCTGGCAGTACTCTCTGTGGGTCTGTTGTGGTGATAGACACTGGGAGAGAATCTGCTGCCTGGGAAAAAGGGTGGAAAGAGTGGGAAGGACTTTGTCTTGTGGTTTCAGTGCCAGCTCAGCAGCAGCAGAATAGAGCACCAAGGAAATTTCTAAGGATTCTGACTCCAGGCCCTGGCTACCAAACAGTATATCTGGACCCACCCAGGGCCCAGGGGAACTCACTGACTTAAGGGAAGGACACAAGCCTGGTTGGCTTCACCAAAAGCTAGGGGATACAGTGTAAGCACTATTAAGAGGAAAGTTTAGTTATAAGTGCTTACATCACAAAAGAAGAAAAACTTCAAATAAACAACCTAATGATACATCTCAAAGAACTAGAAAGCAACAACAAACCACACCCAAAGTTAGTAAAAGGAAAAAATAAAGATCAGAGCAGAATAAATGAAATTGAATCAAAGAAAACAATACCAAAAAAAATCAACAAAACAGTTGGTTTTGTGAAAAGATAAAATTGACAAACCATTAGCCAAACTAAGAGAGAAGACCCAAATAAGTAAATTCAGAGATAAAAAAGGGACATTACAACTATCCCATGGAAATTTGAAGGACTGGCTGGGTGCAGAGTCACACACCTCTAATCTCAGCACTTTTGGGAGGCTGAGACAGGCGGATCATCTGAGGTCAGCAATTGGAAACCAGCTTAATCAACATGGTGAAACTGTCTTTACTAAAAATACAAAATTAGCTGGGTGTGGTGATGCACACCTGTAATCTCAGCTACTCAGGAGGCTGAGGCAGGAGAATCACTTGAACCTGGGAGGCAGAGGTTGCAGTGAGCTGTGATTGCACCATGTCATTCCAGCCTGAGCAACAAGAGCAAAACTGTCTCAAAAACAAACAAACAAAAAACCAACTCAGAAATTTGAAGGATCATTAGAGGCTATTATGAGCAACAATATACCAATAAATTGAAAAACCTAGAAGAAAAGATAAATTACCAGACATATACAACCTACCAAGATTGAACCACAAAGAAATCCAAAACCTGAACAGACCAGTAAGAAGTAACAAGACTGAAGTCATAATAAAACGTCTCCCAGCAAAGAAAAGCTTGGGACCTGTTGGCTTTACTGCTGAATTTTACCAGACATTTAAAAAAGAACTAATATTAATCCTACTCAAATTACTCCAAAAAAAACAGAGAAAGAGGAAATACTTCCAAACTCATTCTATAAGACCAGTATTACCCTGATACCAAAACCTGATAAATATGCATAGAAGAAAGAAAATTATAGACCAACATCCCTGATGAACATTGATGCAAAAATCTTCAACAAAATAGTAGCAAATCAAATTCAACAATATATTAGAAAGATCATTCATCATGACCAAGTGGGATTTAGCTCAGGGATGCAAGGATGATTTGACATATGCAAATGAGCGATACATCATGTCAACAGAATGAAGAACAAAAACCATATGATCATTTCAACTGATGCTGAAAAAGCATTAGATAAAATTTAACATTCCTTC